TTACAATTATTTTGCATCTTCCAAATATAGTATCTCTAAAAAAATCCCTCTGGCTATTTCTAAAATACCATAACTGTCCACTTGTGTTTCTTCATCAACTTTTTTAATACTCTAAATAATGTACTATAATTTGAAGATTGTTGCTTGAATATTAATATTTAGATTCTTTACTCTTACTCTATGCTGATTAAAGAAAACCAACAGAAGAAATAATTAGAAAATATAACATTTCTCTTGAAAGAGTCATCTACGTTTTGTGAAACACCATTGCAAACTTTAAAACCTGTCTTGTGTAAGTCTAGTGTAAAGTAACGTGCAAATCTGGATTTTACGCCCAGTTTGCGAGCCAGGCAAAAGGTCTACTTCAGCATTTGAATTTTATGGTTATGGTATGTTATATAAATGTTTCTTCTTATGTGGTTCACTTCTAATTGTCAAACGGTTAAGTTACTCTTACCGTATATTGTTGTCAACACAATAGCGAGTGAAATGTACACGCCGCAGAGCTGTATCTCCAATTGTATCTTACAAAATGTAAGAATCCACATGACATTGTGTATTAACGTAGGCCAAACTGACTTATATAGATGGCATCCTCTACAGACCCCCAAAACTAGTGCGCGCGGGAGAATACTGCAAAAAATGCTGCTAAACAACAAAAATACAAAGCTGGTATTGTGACTTTGTATGTAGTAATACATAGTGGCTTTTACGACAATTCGGAACATGATGGCCTTTTGCGGCAGTTATGAATCTGCACTAGTTTGTTGAAGATGTTGAAAAAAAATAAAGGATAGAGACAAAAACTTGTGATGGTAGCGTAATATACTGTACATTAGCATAATATATATGCCTGGTTAAAAATGAAGACAAAAATGAAACTAGAAAGGCCGTCATTTGCTTGGGAGCAAATACAGCATATTTCAGCCCATCTCCCTCCCACGCAAAAGTGGACTATTCCAAATTTACCCCAGTGCAAAACTGAAAGATTCTGAAATAAATAAATTATATTATAGTTATGAAATTGATAACAAAGATGCAAGAATAAGCACTTTGAATCTCGACAGCTTTACTTACAAAATTTCACATCACTCTTATCGCACAATGTTATGCAAATTATTATATATCATATATCATACATGTACTATGCAACTACAAATATCATATGTTGAATATGCTATACATGACTTGTATATACAGGGATCGAAATTCATTTTTTTTAATAGATGCACTGGTGCACCTAACCAAAAAAATTAGGTGCACCAAAAACATTTTGGGTTCCACACGTAAAGAATGCTAAAAATGATCGTAGCAAGAGTGGAAATTGCATCGCTATGGAAATAACACAGTAATGATCTTACCGAAAAAAGGCAAATTAGGATTCCGAGATCGAAAAAAAAATATTAAAAAAAATCTAGAAATGAAAACTAGAAAGGCCAATATTTGCTTTGGAGCAAATACAGCGATGGGTTCACCACATTTTACGACATGGCAGGGAAAGAATGAGAAACACAAGGGAAAACAATGATTTACATTGATATAACTATAATATGAAGTAACATACAACTAAAACAACAGTTGGATAGCTATTCCCTACTTTATTGGTTAGGATTTTTAATTGCATAATGCAAACTGTTGATTTTCAAAATAAAAAAAAACGTTCATGCCCCGCATTCCAATGCTGGAGCAGAAAAGCTTGAAATACCTACCAAAACACTTGAATAAAGACATACTGTCAGTATGGAAATGCTCTGTGCAGGTGTTATTAACAATCACATAAACTATGAAGCCATACATTGAATAAGCTATACATATAATATGATTATCATAACCTTATTTTTAAAATTACTATGCCAGTGAGCTAATTGCATGTACAGAGTGAAAGAAAGTAAAGTAAAGCAGTAGAATTTCTGTACTAGCTATGATAGTACTTCATATGATTCGTCCTCATCGTCATCATTCAATGTGGTCTATCTCTTGCTACTAGTGACTGGTAATACCTCTGTAGATTCTTCACACTGGCAGAGTACCGTACTCCTTCTCTCTTGTCAGCTCAATACTTTTGTGACAACATCAAAGTGATTTTAATTTGTATGTTGGAAAAATACAAAAGACTAACATTCTAAGTTATTGACATTCTTGAGTAAGAACAATCAGTTTTTGAATGTTAAAAGCAAAACAACGAAAATAAAGAAAATGTTAGAAATTGTTAAAATGCAGAATTGTTAAAATTGTTAAAACTGATAAAATTGTTAAAAATGATAAAATTGTTAAAAATGTTAAATTGACTAAAAATATTAATGTCCGATGCACTGGGGTTCGAACTTGCAATGCCTGGGATTGCCGCCTTGCGCGTTTCCAACCGAGCTAACTCGGTGCGATACACCATCACTCACTGCATTGTATGTTATAAAAAGTAACAGCATGGCGGTATCGATCGCTTCAAGGCACCAAGACTTTCAACTATTAACTACGGGGTTTCCTTCTTTATCAGGTTTGCTTTTGAACCACCTTGATGTTACTTAACTATCAACCCTACAATTTTGGTGATACTTCGGAGATCGATATAAACAGAACCTAGATAATACTAGTTGGTAAAGATTGCGGAAAAATTGTTGATACCGTGGCGCGCGCGCCGACGATACACATTACGTACCGCGTAACTTTTTTTCTTACACGCCGGGCGCAGGTCATTGACCTCCAACTTGCGTTGTTCCAACAGAGAAGAGCAAAATGTCTGGCTCCCGCAGAACGTACCGCACTCTCCCGCTGGACGTACCGCACTCTCCCGCTGGACGTACCGCACTCTCCCGCAGAACGTACCGCACTCTCCCGCTGGACGTACCGCACTCTCCCGCAGAACGTATCGCACTCTCCCGCTGGACGTACCGCACTCTCCCGAGGGAAGTCCCGCACAGCGTCCTGCACTCTCCCGCAGAACGTCCCTCGAAAATCGATGCGTATTTCGTGGCCTGTGCTGTACCTACCAAAACACTTGAGTTCATACTGTCAAAATGGAATGGCTTTGAACAGGTGTTAATTGAGTTAATCCAATCAAATCCAACAGCCAATCAGCAAGAAGAATAGATTGGTCTGCGTCAGGTTCATGCTTGCATGCCCATATATGGGCATACCGCCGAATTCCTTACTTATTACGTCACGCGCGCGCGCCCCCACAGTACTTTCCTATGGGGACCGCTAAAAAAGCAAATAAAACGATTGTAAAAGCTTGTATCACAAAAATTTAAAAAACGCCTAGGGGTATTTGCCCACTGTACCTCCATACCAAATTTCAGGACCTTAGGCCCTAAAATGAAGAAGCTGAATCCATTTAAAAAATGGCAGGAGAAGAAGAAGGAGAAACATCAGAAAAAGCAATATGGTTTCACCACACCACTTCGTGGTGTGGTGAACCCATAAAAAATAAATTACAAACGCGCTAGTATTGCATTTCCTACCGGCGCACTGCTGGAACAGCGGAAGGAACGTTGATCTAGCCTGCATTTTACTATATTGTAACGTTTAAAACGTTTTAACGATCACCCGCGCATCAATTACATCGATATTTTCTTTTGTCACTGTTGCCCAGGTAAGCGTTTCTATAGTTTGTCAACTTATTTTGCTGTTTTTCTCTGTTCGTTTACTTATTTTACCACCGAATATGCAATCCTAGATGATCTGAAGTTATAAATGCCCCGGTCCGCCGTACATTGGAATAGGCGACGGGCGTGAGGTAACGTTAGGGATGTGCAAAAACATCGCGGAAAATTCCTATAACACTCGAAGAAAAGGCAGCATATTTACACGCGCCCGCGAACATTTTATGGCTAATTATTGGCCAGTTTTGGGGAGTTTTGTTATGTCCTTGGGGTTTTGTTTAGAGTGGGACGGAAAGCCGTGCCGCGACTCCATAATCGTCCGACTCCGTGCACTTCCGTGTTACATTACGTTGTACGTGACCAACAAAATTACGCCAAAGGCACCACAAATCCACATGTACACACAGATTTTTTCCCGAAAATTCTTTTGGGTACGCATTTTGTCACTGCCAAATATGTGACTGCTATTCTGTAGACACATGTTCAAGGTACCCTTATACCGAATTTCAGATTATTTGGTTGTAATATCAGGGCTCAGGATCCAAAATTCCATTTTTTGTCGAAAAATGTCCCCAAAAACCTTCATAAAAACTTTTATTTTATGTTTATGCTACGCTTTATGTCATCTTTATGTTTACAGTACTATGTTTTATGAGCAGCGGATTTACATAAGCACAACAAGTGCTTCCTATCCAATGCTCAAAAATCCATGTGAATAAAATAAAATAAAAAAATAAATAAAATAAACAATTTTCAAAAGCATGTATAAAAAAATTGATGAAAAAACCTGGGGGTATTTGCCCACTCTACCTCCATGCCAAATGTCAAGTCATTTGGCTGACAAATGACAGAGTTGAATCCCTTTGACTGTATTTTTTTCATAGCATAGGGACCGTCAGGTAAAGAAGAGCAACTTTCGTGGCGCAAATCATGCATTGGGCCGAAAAATTTTGAAACTAGTAACCCCTTGAGACACTTTTTCTTGTTCAATGAGGAACAGATTTTGTAAAGTTAAGGTTTCCCCTTTGCTATAGCTTCATTCTAAAGCTATATTTTATATTTTGCAGGATTTATGAATGTTCTCCCTCCCAAAACACCCCTATGCTGGTTGAAAGACAGCATAGGGGCAAAACATCTAGCATAGGGGGTCAAAAGTATAGCATAGGGGGCCCCTATGCTCAAAAGGCCTGGCTAGAACACTGGGGAAGTAGACGGACTATAAGTCACATTTTGGACGACAAATTCTTAGAGAAACGCCATCTTGCGACTGGGAGTAGAAAACATACTTAGTTACTGATGATGATAGCTAAAGCTTCGGTCACAACACGCCGTGCGTGCTTTTTGTCCGTACGTTTTATTGGGAGGCTACGTCTGCTACGTTTTTCTGAAAACGTGGGGAAGGAGTGGCGTCGACGCACGTCACTCGCACGGTTGCGCAAGGTGTAAGAGTGTGGTCTGCACGCCACGTCTGGCCGTGAGCGTTTGCGTGCATCGTTCGCTTCGCAAGTGGTAAGTGAGCTGTACGTGCTTACAACGTACGATCTCTGTGCGATTACAACTTTACTGTAAGGAGGCCGTACTCACACGTGCTTCTTCCGCACGGCACGTACGGGGCACGCGCGTCGCTCGCACTCGAACGTACGGGTGGTGAATCCGCAGACCGCACGCAGAAAAAGTTTTACATGCACTTAAAGTTCTACGGCGTGTCTGCGTGCTCCCAAATCCGTACGGAGGCGGTACTCGCCACTTGCGGATCTCCTACGTTTGCCCACGTTTTTGCACGTAGACAGCACACAGATGCACGCACGGCGAGTCGTGACCGTCGCTTTAAGTACCCCGTACGGTACACATACCTTCTCGCAATAGCGTCGAAGCCCATCTCGGCCATTAATTGTCCTATAGTGGTCATCCCAAAGTAAACCAGTGTGTTCTTGACCCTTTGTAGAAAGGTCATCTGGTCAGTCAGTCCTGACGTAACAGTCGGAATGTAGGATAGAGGGTTGGGAACACCACTGGCGCTGATGTCTGCAACATATCATTGAAATTGCTCAATCAAACAAACAATCATTATGCAATAAGTAAATTATGAATTAGTGAACACTCTCTCAAAATTGAGAGAGGGCGATATAAGAAGCTCCAAGTGTATGAACGAATTTGCAAACATTGTACGTTGAATACGGTGGAAGACGAAACGCATTTTATCTCAAATTGTACACTCTATAGAAATGAACGAAATGAACTCTTTGACGTAGCCTCCAAATTCTACCCAAACTTTCACACATATATAAATGAAAGGAAAAGTACTCTCCTCTTAACAACCGAAAACCCACAAACTACAGAAAAAGTGGGATCCTTTGTCTTCCTCTGTCTTCAAAAAAGAAGTCAAACCCAGTAGTTTTTACTAGTAATTTCTAAGTAATCAGTAGTTCTTTGTGTACTAATTGTCTGTTTTTATACCATATGTTTCTTCTGTTCCTGCAATTAGCCCTCGGGCACGAATTTCCAATGAAACAAAGAATATTGAAAAGCCTACTGCAGTTAGTTTAACATGTAAAAAAGAACAACAACGCAAATTTAGCTCCATATTTAACTGTGGTATAATGAGATCGTAAAACTTTTCAATTATGACAACGAAGATCTAGAAATTAAACTTGCGAAACAAAATGTTGCCAAGGCATCTTCAGTTGAATTGTCTTATTTACCTTCGCATCCTATGGCGTATCTACGGTCCTTTCCCCGCTTATGAAGTGCAAATGATCAACATCAGATAGTATCTATCGGGGTAATCGCTGTTTCTGATAGTACGATATAGTAGAGGGGATTTATTCCTCAAGCTTACCGACATCTTGCACACACAGGCGTCCCTCAGTAAGACATCTGGAGCCACATAGTTCCCGTTTAGAACTTTTATTCAGCCTGTCACACGACCGGTTTCGCCTGTGTGGCTTCTTCAAGTGTACAGAGGCTAATGTCAGGCTGAATAAAAATTCTAAACGGGAAATATGTGGCTCCAGATCTGATGTCTTACTGAGGGACGACTGCGTGTGCGAGATGTCGGTTAGCTTGAGGAATAAATCCCCTCTAGTATATACGCTGTTCATGATGGTGTAAGACGTCTAAACACTACGTACCGAGTCCAGTGGGCATAGACCTCAGAGTGCAGACCAGAGGGAGGTCCAAGTACTGAGCCACGAGGGACCCACATGTCGTCCCAGGGTACGTCAGAACTACGTCATAGTGGCTGTTCTTCAGTTTCGTCATCAGCTGACTGTCACTCAACATCCCTTCACAGTTATCCAGGAGGCTGCTAGCCATCTTATTCCCCAAGGCCAGGAATTCCAGCCAAGTAAGTGAAGAAAATGCCTGTGAGAGTTAATATAGAGCAAGGTGAATAAGGTTGGGAGTGCACTTGAACTCAACAGGACCAAATTGATGTGCTGGTGTGCATGTGTATGCACTGCGAGTTTAGACGCGGTGGACGTTTACCATGCCCGAAGCCAGGTGGGGGTGGGGGTCGGAAGACCTCTCATAAGGCTCAAAGGTCCACTTTTTATCTAAAGGTCCAAGATTTTTTTTTAAAGATGGACTAATCTGTGTCATCTGTACCACCGGCAGAACCGGTGAAAAACTGCTCACTTTGTCATTGAAGAAAAAGTTGTCTGATTCTTCCTTTAAAATTCTCTCGAAGACACAGGAAATGCCATTGCAGAAGGTTCTATTCTCAAAATTTTCCGGGGCCCCCTTAGGAACCTCGCCTCCTCGGCGCTCGCCTCGACTCGCACCCACAGCGCTCGCTGGTCCGTCAGACAGTGACGTCCTTCAAAATCCTGGCTACGGACATGTTTGATACTCACATTCTAATTTGGGTTCGTACTTTGCCAAAAAGGCACATTTTAAACAAGTTACCGTTTTTACTTACAAATGTTTGTATTTTTTATTATAGGACAGATGCCGAGATTCTTGGTGTCTTTTTGAACACAAAATACAATGATGAATCCATGCTTGTTGTGTTATAACACACTTAAATACATGTAAATACTTACAAATGTTTTCGGCACGACTTTCATGTTGTTTTTGATGATGGGCGGTTTCTCGGGGTCTCCGAAAAACTCGTAGCGCAAGCTCGGCCATTTCCGCATCAGATCGCTCCTCTCACTAGCAGGAGCCAGCACGGTGACCACGTGTCCTCGGGAGGCCAAGGCTTCGGCAATCTTCGCCACGTCCAGCCACGGGCTGCCGAACGTCATGGTGGCCACGAGGATGTCCGCAGCCTGAGCGCGGGGGGACAAGATGGCGGCGGCTGTCAGGGCCAGGAGGAGACCGGTCCGCATGATTACTGGAGCCAAAGATAAGGAGCTTCAGTAAACTTGAGACATACTCCAAAGTGAAGAAAACCTTTACCATGGAGAAGTACCTCTCGGTGATCCAAAACAAATCCTTTACATCTAGTATTACACGACTGAGAATTGGTGCACATTGCTTAGAAATTGAGAAGGGTCGTCACAAAAAGATACCAGCCGAGAAAAGAATGTGTCCTGCCTGCAAAGACAAAGTTGAAGATGAGTACCATTTTGTAATGATATGTCCCTACTATAACGAAGAAAGGAAAAAGCTAATGATCTCATGTAAGAGTGAAATAACGCTACCTGGAACAAGAAGAGAAATTTTCAACATGCTGTTATCATGCCCCGACTCTGTATCTGTTTATCTAGGCCAATATGTACATAATGCTATACAAAAGAGAAACAATGTCACAGCAATGTGAAATGTGACATTCCATTATAAAATAGATACATGTACTGAAGTACACTAGTAGAAATAGTTTATAGTTATTAAGTGTCATTTGCCATACATTGTATCCAATGCCGTTGTTGCGCAATAAACCTGACTTGACTTATTACAGCAGCGCGACCGGTACGATGCCATACACCGAGTGCTCTACGTCAAGACCTAAAATAGAAAAATATCGGATGCTTCAAATGTAAACAAAAACAACTTTTCACAACCCACTGGAGTTTAAACTTGAAAACCCATATATACTGTAACAGTGGGGGCAGTTATAGGCGCTATCAACTGACCCAGCCGATGGGTCTAGACCTTTTAGCCGAGTGGTTTGAGCGTCGGATTATGGAGTAGGTGCTCGGGAGGTCGTGGGTTCGAACCCCGGCCCGCGACCAGGGATTTCTTTCTGTTTCTACTCGCTCCTCCTGTTTCTTACAATACCCTCACTCTCGTGCATGTATCTTGTATCATGTATGTGTAAAAAATGCTTATAGATTCATTAGGACTTTAAATGAAGCAAACAGTACCAGTAGTTAATACATTTTGCCTGACCCTTATCCAGATCTCTTCCTCTTTACCTCAATGAAAACCGGCCCACAGGCCGATTTGAGCTTCTCATGAATAAACCTTTAAAGGTTTTTCAAACAGCTGTAGTGCACGTAAAGGACGACACCTTAAGTAAATTACAATAGCCTCCATGGGGGTTTTGGGTGTCTTCAGGGTCTTTGGGATCTTTTATGTGTAATTTTCTGATTGCATATAGACAACATAGCCGGCCTGGTTGAATTACACCGTTTTAGAACTGGTCTAATCAGAAAACAGCCGAAGACCACCAAACCCCCAGTTCTATAAGCCTGCTACGGAGGCTAAAATGAAATCACAATCCGTGCTCGTTCCTGCTTTCTTAATCTTTCTAGCAAAACCAGATTGCATGAATGGATGATGATAATAGAAGCACCGACAACAAAGGCGACCTTTCAAAGAGGATCAACATCTGAATGGGACCATCGGAATGTTGATCCTCTTTAATTCGCATGAAAGCTCATCTGTACATGTGTTGGTAGAATCCACAACCGTTTAGTAACCCGTAGACCATTCAGACTGTCGCTAATATCCAGTTGTAGTCCATCCAGGGGCAGGCATAGTCTCCACCAGACTTCTTTTGCAGGCTGAATAAATCGTAGAAATCGGCCTAAAAAGGGTATAAATTGGCGAGAGAAGGTGGCCGGTCATCGACGATCAAATTCTTGCAGGCCAATTAAATCGTCGATGGCCGGCTACCTTCTCTCGCTAATTAATACCCTTTTTATCCCGATTTCTACGATTTATTCAGCCTGCAAAAGAAGTCTGGTGGAGACTAGAGAAGGGGCATGAAAACTCCATGATCGAGTGCAGTGTTGTCACCCAGCCGAAGGTTGGGCCAAAGACCAGAAAGTGTTGAGTATAATTTGCGGTAGGCCGTACTAAGTGTAAACGTGAGATGAATACTGGGGATCTGGGAGTACACAAACACTAAAGACTCGATGATGGTCGCTGCAGTGTGACTAATAGAGTAATTGTGGCCTTGGGAGCTTAGCAGTAAGGCCACAGCAAGTAAATTTTATGGATGACATCAGCGCGCGCATTAATTTTCGCCTGATTTGGGGAAAAAAAACAAGAAATTTTGTTGTTTTTTGACAGTGGTCAACATGCCGAATATGGGGAAAGATGTCTGTTGCCATGCCGGAAGGTGGATGACAGATAACTATGAAGAGAGGAGACAAGAAAAGGCTCTGATTTAATGTTTTGTTTCTTACTTTGATGCAGTGATTTGTGATGCTGGCTGTGTATATGTGATGTTCCCACTGAATCAAAACCATTTGTACAATGATTGAGTCAAAATTTTAAAATGTAGGAACCTTGTTTTTTTTTCGGCCCGCCTTGTTTTTTCTTTGCCCGCTCGCATTACATTTGAAGTCTGCGGAGGCTGTCATCCATGAAATTTACTTGCTGTGGCCTTAGCAGTAATTAAGCTCGCGTTGGGAAATTCGATCCTGGGAACTAACCATGTTCGTGGTCCAGAAAAAGCTCGACGTATACTCGCTGTGGATAAACGTTACACCACCACATTCGTCATGTTTCTGAAAGACGAACACCCAGATTCAAGAGAACCCCCTTGGTCAACATATCTGAATTGTGACATCCCCGTGTAGAGTAGCTAACATGTACAGCAATCAGAAACCTCCTGACCAGTAGCAAACTAGCCTGGTATCCAGTCTGATCGTGGTCGGGGCCGCCAGAGCTCTGTCCCGCCCGCCTCACATAGGTTTCCCGGTGTGTACTTCACGAGAACTTGAGTGTTGGGGGAAACCAAATCCCCAAGCAAACTGTGTAACACTCCTACCGGGACGGCCTGTTGCACTGGGCGTGGGAAGCTATTAGAGCCCCCGAAGGCACAACCTGCTTGAACACCCCACTCACGTAAGACTGGATACTAGGCTAGACCAGTAACGTTGCGCACAGTAGCAAGCATCTAAACCATTTAAGTACATGCATTTCACATGCATTTGTCACTTGCCCTTGATAATTCTTCTGTATCGGGTCTGACGGAATAAAACTCAACGTCACAATTACCTGTTGATGAAAAGCAGTAGAATCGGCTGACCTCTGGCGTGGAGTATTGGTCTGGCTGAAGAGGATGTTGTCCACCAGGATCCCGAAATGACCGTTGTCTGCACTGACCCCAGCGCGTGTCAAAGGGCAACGTCCTATAGTAACCTTAGGTCATGTGAACCCACCCAGACCATATCCGATGTACAAGTAGTATATATACATATAAGGCCATACCAATTAAATTTGTTGTTTCTCGGATTCGTCCTGTCCATTTTTTTCTGATTTGCAAAAAAAAAATTGTTCCAAATCAACCGCAAAATGATCAATGAAAGACATATTTTGGCCCCAATGGTTGAAGAAAGTCCCTTTCTTCCTAGTTGTTAAAGTTTTCAAACGTAAAAATGCAATTTTGTTTCATGACAAGTTAAAAACCTATTGTTCTAATTATAAACCAGCCTGGTATGTTGACTTCATGGCTCATATTGTAACATTTCCGGCTATCATGGGGTGCCTTGGCCTGTTTTTTTTTTTATTTTGCCCTGTCGCTTCATATTTTTTTCTGAAAAAATCTGATGAGAAACAACAAATTAAATTGGTGTGGCCTAATGTTATAACATTATAGTCACATTTGTGGTTCAGCAACTTATTATGTCAACCTTGCTGACTGAGTCAGACCAAGGAGGTTAAATATTGGTCAGACTGACCCATTTAAAGGTTAATCCTATTTGCATAAGCTCTCAGTTCATAATCCACCCTACCCAAGGAGATGAATTATTTCCAAAGTTTGGAAGTCTTCATATTTAGCAATGGCAGTTGGTTGTGAAACAGGTCGAAAAAGTAGCCTCCATAGCATGCCTAAAACTGGGGGTTTTGGAGGTCTTCAGGGTCTTTGGGAGCTTTTATGTGCTATCTTCTGATTGCATATAGACAACATAGCCAGCCTGGTTGAATTACCCCCGTTTTTAGAACTGGGCTAATCAGAAAACAGCCGAAGACCACCAAACCCCCAGTTCTATAAGCCTGCTACGAAAAAGTGGGTTACCGGTATGAGGAAAACAGTCTTGGCACTGTGCACGACTTATGCAACAATTTGTTTTTAATAGAAACATATTGGTAGTATACATGTACAGAGTAGTGTTGGGTGAACCAGAGATTTTTTTACGAGTATTCCCTTGTATTTTACCATCACTATCCTGATTCTCCAAGTCTCCTTTATAAAAGAACTACTTTTTGGCTAAAACAGTGGACCTCCTGGTGGCAAAATAGCAACATACATGTACATATACATGTATATCTGGAAGATTCTATATGGACCAATGATATTTATACTGCCCGTAGCAGGATAATAGCTCTAAATGGCATTTTTTGTGTGTGTGTGTTCGTGTGTGTGTGTGTGTGCGCGTACGTGTGTGTGTGTGTGTGTGTGTGTGTGTATACGTGTTTGTGTGTATGTCTGTGTGTGTGTGTGTGTGTGTCTGTACATGTGTATGTGTGTGTATGTCTGTATGTGTACGTGCAGGTGTATGTCTGTGTGTGTGTGTACATTTGTACTTGTGTGTGTATGTTTGTGTGTGTGCATGTGTGTGTGTGCATGCGTATGTCTGTGTGTGTACATTTGTACGTGTGTATGTGTGTGTGCATGTGTGCATGTGTGTACATTTGGACGTGTGTGTGTATGTCTGTGTGTGTACATTTGTACGTGTGTGTGTGTGTATATGTGTGTGTAGTACATCTGCTGACATCTTTAATGTCTGATTTTTAGAACTTGGCTGATGTTTGCAGTTAAGAGCACAATTTGATGAATGGCTTATTTCAATGAAACATCACTGTAGCTGGGTCCAGTACAAATAATTGTTACGCTGTAACTGATTTCTTCATTTGAATCTGTTCCAATATTGAGTAACTTCAACTAATACCATATAATCATGAAAGTTCATCTGTGTTGGTAGTAATCATAGTAAAAAGTTGAACTTTATTCCAACACACAGTTTACAGAGAGACCAAATTTTCAGCGACCACTGTCGCCTTCATCAGGATAATTAATGACGTGCGAATAAGGTCACGTGTTGGTAAACCGTAACTCTCATGAGATCACGTTGTGAAGTGATTGGTCTTTTAATTATCCTGATGAAGGCGACAGTGGTGGCGGAAAATTTGATCTCTCTGTAAACTGTGTGTTGGAATGAAGTTGAACTTTTTACTATATATACTGTATACTATCATGAAAGTTCATCTGCGTTGGTAGTTACATGTTTAAAGTTAAAACTTTTGGTCCAACACAAAAAATTCTCTCACCTAGAGCTTTCGACCAGTCACTCTGGTCTTCCTCAGTAGACTGACCCAGTGAAGCTTGTCACATGGCTTCTTTGCGACGGGGGCCGCGACGGGGGCTGACGTCGTCTACCAGATACCTTTGACCCAGTGTTGACGTCACACTTCAAATAAGCCATGTGACAAGCTTCACTGGGTCAGTCTACTGAGGAAGACCAGAGTGACTGGTCGAAAGCTCTAGGTGAGAGAACTTTTTGTGTTGGACCAAAAGTTTTAACTTTAAACATGTAACTACCAACACAGATGAACTTTCATGATAGTGATTATATACCATATATATAACAATTGCAGATCTCTCAGTACACTATCTCTTGTTTCCGTTCTTGGTCCTTTTGTTCACCCTGGACTTTGCAGATTTTAACACAGACTTGAACCTGACCGGTTCCGTGATGTTTATTCTTGGTCCCACGTTGCCGTGTGAAGAATTCCTGGTGGAATTTCCCGACTTTATGGAGTCCAATATTGGAGTGAATTCCTTCTGGTCCATGAGTCTCCTCTTCCTTTTGTTGTACCCAGACAGAATGGACACGAGTCCCCAGGGAGTGACTCCACCTTTTGGACCAACCTCAGGTTGGAGGAAGTCGGGCTGTTCTGCCATCCAGGCAGCCTCCCTGGCTAACTGTACAAACTTTTCCAGCTGATGCATGCTGACGTTCTTACTCAGGTTTAGCTGCTGCTCAAACGGGTTCTACAAGAACAGAAAAACACATTTTTAATTTCAATTTGTATTATTGAACTATGATGAATTTAAGGCATGTCAAGCTTTCTAAATTTAATGGAAATTAAATTATACATTTTATAACATAAATCAATTCATAATTATACATTAGGGCACACCAATTTAATTTCTTGGTTAACGGATTCAGCCGCTTCCTTTTTTGCCCTGAACAGTTGAAAAGAGGTCCTTTTCTTCCTAGTTGTTACAGTTATTCCATCCTTCAATGCAGTGGTATCATTAAAAGTTCAAAATTCATTGTTTAAATTTTGAACCAGCCTGGTGTGTTGACTTCGTAGCAGTTTGGGCCATGATAGGATGCCTAGGCCTGTTTTTATTTTTATTTTTTTTTTTTCTAGAAAAATCCATTAACCAAGAAATTAAATTGGTGTGGCCTTATGTATTATAGAAAAACGTCAGACCTGTATATAAAGGGCATCAAAGTTCTGTTTCTCCTGTATTTCTCCAGTCCGCAGGTTCAGCCCACAGTTCCTGAAGTTGAAGTTGCTGTAGAATTCAAAGAACTCCAGGAGAAGGTCATCTGCAAAACATCATAGACAAAGTTAGGAACCTTGTGGTAATAGCCAACCTACCAATGAGACCTTCAAAGTAAGGCTAAATCACAATACAATCTTGTACAGTTGTGGGATAAATAAAACTAGAGAAGTAACATTTGCAAAGCAAAAAATAATGCATAATGTTTACCTTCGGACATGGTTCTTACTCAAACACATTCACAACATACATGTACTACTGGTATATGGTGAGAGGAGCAGAGCAGACCATGAAATTGCAACATTATGTTACCCAACACCAGAAACCATGGTGACAGATGTGAACAAATCATGTCATTGGTCAGGTCAGAGGTCACTGTTTGGAGAAGAAGAAGAGGAAGAAACAGAGCAAAAACAATATGTTTTCTTTCGGTAAACATAATAAGGAAAGTTCAGCAGATAACGCTTTGTGTTTGACATATGATTAGTGTGAAATGTGCGTGTGTGTGTGTGTGTGCATGCGTGTGTACTACTTTGTACTGTAGTATGTAAACGTGCACATGTGTGTGTACATGTGCATGTTTGTGTGCAAATGTGTTTCAAAAACTACTGTACTGATGCAAGTGTTTATACATCAACATTTAACAAAACATTTTTTCTTTCCTTCCAAGATGTGAATTTTTCCTGGGATGTGTGTTACTGTTAGCAGTTGTTTTTGGAATTGTTCATCATTATGTTCACCAAAAGAAAACATATTGTTTTTACACAGTTTCTTCCTCCTCTTCTGCTCCAAACACTAACCTCTGACCTGACCAATGACATGATTTGTTCACGTCTGTCACCATGGTGACTGGTGTTGGGTTACATAATGTTGCGATTTCATGGTCTGCTCTACTCCTGTCACCATATACTACATGTATGTGAATGTGTTTGAGTAAGAATTAACAGATAAGACCATGTCCGAAGGTAAACATTATGCATTTGCTTTGCAAATGTTACTTCTAGTATTGCATTAATTTACAAACTGCAGGATCTACTGGTATCCAAGAACATCTGTACTCATTGTTCCCACGTACCTATACTGTCTGTATTTTCCGACAGCGGTACTTTGGTCAGGTCACTCACAAGTGTGCAGTCATTTCCCTCAAGGATACACGTGTCTGTCTTATCTGTGGGCGAGAGAACATTTAGAACAGTGCAACACATACAGCAGGACTCGAAATTAAAGATTGTCCAATGGTCACTGACCACTAAAATTGGGCTGGGACAACTAAAAAGACACTTTGGGACATTTTTGGGACAATAGAAAAATAATCAGCATCAGAATGTCAGCCCTTCTTTTATTTATCAGGCACACGTCCTGGCTTTTGGATCTGGAAAAGTCCCCCCAAATTTCCTGTCCACTCTGCAATTATTTATAGTGCGCCTGGGAGTGAACATAGCAAAATGAAGTTGACTTCAAGTTAAGGTCATACAATATTGCCAAAAAACAGGTTGGGACAGTTCATCCTCACTTGGGGACAATTGAAATTTTTTTTCGGGACAGTGCTGGGACAATAGGAAGAAAAAAGGCCTGATACAGGCATGTGAGTTACAAAATGTAGCATTTTACATGTATTGTATGTGTACAGTATTCATTACACTTTCTTTAAAATATCTGTGTAAATTTATCCGTTAACCAAGAAATTAAATTGGTGTGACCTTATGCCAATGTGCTATAATACACAGTACGATTATCATCAAGAATATTGCCGTACACAAGCGCCACCTACCAGCTAGCTCCCTCAGTGCATCAATCCTAGGAATCACAGGTTTGTCTGTGTACTGCAGGCGCAGTATGTTCTGCCAACATGCTATAATACACAGTATACTGTATCATTAAGAAACTTGCAGTACACAAGCGCCACCTACCAGCTAGCTCCTTCAGTGCATCAATTCTAGGAACCACAGGTTTGTCTGTGTACTGCAGGAAGAATATGACCAGCGCGGTGAGGGAGAAGTTGGTGATCCATCCTCCCGGCATGTTGCTGGTGACGTGGTGCAGACGTGCCCAGTGTCTGACGGCGTACACGAGCGGCGCGACGCGAGGGTCGATACGGGAGTACAGGTTCAGTAGCTCACTACTCTTCAGTGCAATGCTAAAGAGGAAGGGTTGAAATAAGTCATCAGGGTCAGATGAAATGGTGACAGTTGACAATTTGTGCTTAGGCCACACCAATTTAATTTGTTGGTTCTTGGATTTTTCACAAAAAATATGAAGCGACAGGGCAAAAAAAAAAACAGGATTAGGCATCCTATTACAGCCCCAAATACTAGGATATATAGGAGCCATGAAGTCAACACAAGAGGCTGGGTTAATATTTTAACAATGAATTCTACAGTACTGCATTGATAGATGGAAAACCTTTTTTTGCAAATCAGAAAAAAATGAGCTGAATCTGAGAACCAACATATTAAATTGGTGTGGCCTTAATTTTAATAAAATTTATTTTTATTAAGAACAAAATAGGAAGGGTTGTGAGGAAAAAAAATATTAATCCCATAAAATAATTTGAGTGAGTGAGTAATTTGAAGCTTCAGCACTGCTAAAAGAATATCCATAATTTTTCTCATTCTTTATTAAAGGTCCCCAGTGCAACTTCAGGCAACTGGATTTTCTAAGTCAATTTTATGGTCATTAAGTTGATTCAATCATATCATTGACGGTTGCTTGTTTTAAATGTGCTAAGAAATAGCATTAGATGTCAGTATCAGTATCACATATCAGTGAGTGTATCAGGCATATACTAAATTGTTTTGCCTCCCTGAAATTGCATTGGATGACTTTAAAGACCAAACGACACCAAAAAAAGTCCGTAAAACACATACAAATATCGGAAGTGTACATACAACAACGTCACTTGAAGTTTGTTCCATCATCATGACTGAGAAATTGTGCTTGTATGGCCTTCTAAAAGTGAATTTTTTGGAGACTCTCTAGCAAGCTTCCCACTTCAGGCATCCCTATTTGCATCTTTATGTTTAGTTTTTGCATTTCTGTGCTTTTTCCAGAGGTGACATCAGCTCAGGAAAAATGCAGACATGCAAAAATAAAATGTAGAGATGCAAATCGCCTGCCAGGACTGACTTGTGCTGACTTTTCCAAGGCAGGGCATTAAAATTTTGAATGTAACAGGAGAACCATGCATATTTATTGTAAATGTGTCTGTTAGCCAGTTAATACTAGTTATGTCAATTACAATCCTCTAAGGTCATATTTTGGTGTCATGTGGACTTTAAATACCTGTTGTTGGATGTTAGGTCACACTGTATGCCCGTTGCCTCGTGCATAAACTTGACCAATGGACAGCGAGCGTTGAGGATGTACTGCACGTGTCGACAGCTGGGCACGAACTCTGCCAGACCCTGTCCCACGGTGGACAGCAGGTTCTGAGTCGCCGCTCTCTCAGTCGGCACCGTCTTCACTTCATACTCCATCCGCGGGAAAGACTTCTTCTGTAGGGTTCAAACAACAACATTCAGCATAGATAGCAATGTCTAGAGTTAGATGTTCAACGGTACACACACCAATTCTTCCGCGACAGGGTCCGAGGTAGTGCTAAAAAAAAGGGACAAAGGGGTTCCTATGGTTCGTCTTTGAGTAACTTTACATTTCTCATAATCTGCTGCAAAATGGTATTAACTACTAACAATTTTTGGCTGGAAAGTGAAGAAGTGGCGTGTTTTGGGTGAAAATTGATTTCGGGCCCGAGGCTTACTTCCGGGTGTCCTTCCGCCTATGCGTTCTTGGGGTGCTGTTGCTATGCCTCGCGCGACGGGCTATTGTGATAATCTCAGTGTTAGGATTTTCTTTATACTTTTCTTAATAATACATAAGGGTTTTCTCTTTCTGACCATATAAGTCATGTTGGTGGCTAAATTCTGGGTGATGGGTCTCATTCCACGTGAAAATGGCCAATTTTTGGCCTCATTTTTCATCGAAAAATTCTTTTTCCCCCTAAAATTTACTAAAATGTGAGAGGTGAAAGAAATTTAAATTCTATTGTTCTTGTAGCTACTACATGTAGTAGAGGGATATCCCTCATTTGCAAACACAGTGTTTTGGCTTAAGAACTATTTCCTGAAAGAGACGGTCGCTGGAGTTGAGGGTATGCAGAATCGAATTGAGACCCAAACTAAACTGGGGTGACTGCCCCCTCAAGGGTTAGGTGTAAAGAGTCGATCAGTGTAATGTAGCCAGCTGCCGCCACGCTGCGTGCCTGCGAAGCTGGAAGGCCAAAAGGCGGCTATCCTTGGACCTCTCCTTGGTGCTGAACTCACCATCAGTTCCATGTTATGCATTAGTGTCCTCAACACTGCACAAAAGGCATTTTTCCCTTATACTTTTATGGTACATATATTTTGTTTGTCTATCTAGTAGCCCCTATATATACAGATGTACTTTACTTCTTACAGGTAGCCCCTCCCTCCCATACCCTACTATCTGCCGTGTCTTTGATATTGTGTTTAACTATATTCATCCCTCTGGAAGATTTGACCAATCTCATTAATGTTATGCTATAGGTATTGGTGCGCCAGCCACTTTCATTTTATGTTTATGCTATACTTTATGTCATCTTTATGTTTACTTTTGTATTATGTTTTATGAGCAGCGGATTCACATAAGTGCTTCCTATCCAATGCTCAAAAATCCATGTGAATAAAATAAAATAAAATAAAACATATACAGAAACAGATTCAAACAGCTGTTACAGCAGGGCTTTAGCCAGCTCGAAATTTTTTTTTCCATCAGCCCAGATTCAGAATAAGAGCTGGGGGAGAGTACTCACAATCTACATTGTTCATGTAGTGGGGAGAGGGGTCCATGGACAAATTTTGCATTTTCAAGCCTCTTCAATGCAATTTTGCACATTTCGAGAGGCAAATCATGGGGCTGAGAGTGAGAATATTGTTGGTGGCTCTTCGGATGTTTTCATTTTTCTTATTTTTTACCCAAGTTTGATGGATTGGTTTGAAATTTGTTAGTCACATGCCACAAAGTTCCTGCAATAGACCCATTTGACTTTCACGGATCGCATAAACTGCTTACGTCACAGAGGGGACATTTGGAAAGAACACAATTCTAGGTGGCGGAAATGGAACGTGGCTTGCGCTCGCGGCAAAAGTGTCTTTTTTTTTGGTAATATATGCAGAAATGACAGGAAAACAGGCACCAACTTTGTATGGTGGCATTCCATACAACATTTTCAGGTTATTTTGTGCTGTGACATATATAGTTTATGCAATCCGTGAAAGGAACTATTCAAAATGTCCCTTCTGTGACGTAGTTTCTATTTGAAATGTCCCCCCTGTGACGTAGTTTCTATTTGAAATGACCCCCCTGTGACGTAAGCAAGATCTGTGAAAGTCGAATGGGTCTATTGAAAGATGGGTGCTGGCTAGAGCCCTGTGTTATGCAAAATGTATTTTCGGACATAAAGACATACATGTACTAGTATGTAGAATTCCAGCAGTATAAACCTGCCTTCTTGGGTTTGTGTTCCTCCACATTCAGGTTCAAGTACATGTCCAGGTCACAGCCCTTGTTGCCAAAGCCGTTGACAGAGGAGCCAAAGGGGTGCACAATGCATCCTGGGAAATGGCCTGTGATGGCGTCCTCCACCAGAGAGCAGACCAGGAACCTCAGACGCGTCTCTCCCTCCGATAACTCTGTCTCTCGGACTAACACTCGCATCTGTTCCTCCATCTGTGGAGGTAGAAAAGAAACGTGAGGCTACAGCAAGTAATTTTTATGGATGACATCAATAGGCGTATTAATTTTTGCCTGATTTTGGAAAAAAAACAAGAAATTTTGTTGCCTTCTGACAGTGGTCAACATGGGCAAAGATGTCTGTTGCCACGCCGGAAGGTGGATGGCAGATAACTATAAAGAGAGGAGACAAGACAAGGCTCTGATTTAATGTTTTGTTTCTTACTTCGATGCAGTGATATGTGATGCTGGCTGTGTATATGTCATGTTCCTACTGAATCAAAACCATTTGTACAATGATTGAGTCAAAATTTTAAAATGTAGGAACCTGTTTTTTTTGGGCCCGCCTTGTTTTTTTTGGCCTGCTCGCATTTTTGAACACTTTGTCTTCTACTGCTTCCATAAAAGAGATCAAACGCAAAATGATTAGATCATATTTCATTGTAATCTTTAGAATAGTAACTTGTTCCACTTTGTTACCATTGCACTGTCTGTATACCCTATACATTGACTCATGATGCAGTTATATATTAGCCCTCAGGCATGTATTTTCAAATAAAACTACTACTGGATAAATAATGGAGATAACCTCCGGACGTTTCAAGTGACACCCGTCACTCTTCTTCAGCGTCACTAAAGCCTTGGCCACAACCCGTCGTACGTGCAACTGCGTGCTGTCTACGTGCAAAAACGTGGGCAAACATAGGGCATCCGTACATTGTGAGTACCACCTCCGTACGTACCATACTTAAGCAGCATGTGTGAGTACAACCTCCTTACAGTAAAGTGGCAATAGCACAGAGACCGTACGTTGTAAGCACATACAACTCACTTACCACTTGTGCAACGAATGATGCACACAACCGCTGACGGCCAGACGTGACGTGCAGACCACACTCTTATACACCTTGCGCATCCGTGCGAGTGACGTGCCTTGACACCACTCCTTCCCTACGTTTTCAGAAAAACGTAGCAGACGTGGCCTCCCAATATAACGCATGGGCACGCACGGCGGGTTGTGACCGAGGCTTAAAGGAGCTGAGCGCACGTCGACACTAATCACATGTGAAGGAACTGGAAAAATCAGTTGAAATTGACGAAGACTCATGTACTCACAGACTGAGCTGCACAGAGTTTGGTAGCGAGGATGGAGAACCTCTGTTCTGCTGTCATCTCCCCCACGCTGTGTTTCTTACTGGAGCTGTTCATCCAGTTACTGGTGCGGAAGGACAGCAGGCGTGACCTGTAGGGCACAACCTCCAGTACAGACCTGAAGTGGGCCGTGTTCAGAAGACTGTGGACTGAGCCTTTGGACGTGTACTCCAGCAAAGTGTACTGCTCCTGTAATTGTATACATGTACATGTCAACTTGATAATCTTGGTCGTGGTCAGGTTGATGTGGTATGACTTTTTGAATATTTGGGCATGAGTCATCAGAATAGCATGCAGAGCAAGCAACCAATAGGCAGGCAGCTTTCCTCTATTCTTCTTGCTGATTGGTTGTTGGGATACAATTGGGTTAACTCAATTAACACGTGTACAAAGCCATGCCATATTGACTGTATTAACTGCATTCAAGTGTGTAGGTATGTCAAGCTTTCCTGCTCCAGCATTGGAATACGGGGCATAAACACTTCTTTTTATCTTGGATTTGTTGGAAATCAACAGTTTGCATTATGCAATTAAAAATCCTAACCAATAATTAAGTGGATAGCTATCCAACTGTTGTCACCTTATACTATAGTTACATGTATATCAATGTAAAGAATTGTTTTCTCTTGTGTTTATCCTTCTTTCCCAGGTCGTAAAATGTGGTGAAGCCATCCGCTACATTTGTTCCAAAGCAAATGTCAGCCTTTTTAGTTTTACCTTGTCTCCGTATGTGAAAGAGTTTTGGACCTCCCCAAAGTGAGAGCAGAACTTGGTGAGCTCCTCTTCAGTAGCCTTCCCCACGTGTCTGACCAGCACGCTGCGCAGGGCCTCCTGTCTCCGCTGATCCTGGAGATCTGTAAATCTGCGCAGGTCCAACCCCGGGCTGGGAACATCTGGGGTTGAAAAGGGAATGGGAAAATTGATGAGTTGTGAGTACAATGTAATTTTTGAGTAGTATAGTGTTGTTGTAACAGTGGGGGGTTTATAGGCGCTACCAACTGACCCGGCCGATGGGTCTAGACCTTTTTGGCCGAGTCGTTGGAGTGTCTGCCTGTGGACTGGTGCCTGGGTTTGGTCGTGGGTTTGAACCCCGGCCCGGGACCAGTGGGTTTTTATCTGTTTCTACTGTTTCTTACAGTGGTTCCCACACCGGCCCTGGGAGTTCTGGTAAAGAGTGCCGCTCCAGGGATGTCGAATTCGGAAGACTCGAGGTCGAATCTTGAAAAGAAAAGGGGGAGTAGTGTAACAGTGGGGGGTTTATAGGCGCTACCAACTGACCTGGCCGATGGGTCTAGACCTTTTCGGCCGAGCGGTTAGAGTGTCGGCGTGTGGACTGGTGCCCGGGTTTGGTCGTGGGTTCAAACCAGTGGGTTTTTATCTGTTTCTACTATTTTTTTACATTGTTAACATTTACAAAATGTTTAACGTTAAAGTTCATTATAATTTTGCAAAAAAACAAAACAAAAAAACACTTGTGGCCAAGCAAGGCAAAGGAATTACCATGCATTTGAATACTATGGTCTAACAATAATATGTAGCATCAAATGACGTGTCAAAACATTGGTCTCGTCAACTGTGTAATGGAACAGAATAATAAAAATGTAATAAAATGGAACAGAAACTAACTACACCTAAATAAAATAGTGATGCCCCCCTCCCCATTTCTACAAACCGTTGAGTCCGTTTGAGGAAATTTCGTGCTCGGATGGCTCCACAGTGTCTGAATTTGAAGCCTGTGTCGTACATCGCCTCATAAACTTGTAGAACACCGACGATCTTCCTGACAGTCCATGATTTCTCTCTAAACACAAACGCAACACCGCCCCTTTCCTCAGCATGGGCGCCGCCATCTTGGTTTCTACGTCGTTCTCGTTCCCAGGGTAACTTATTTACAGAAGTAGCGATTTCTGTATCTAGACGATTCGTTTTATTGATATTGCATATAAAAATGAATTACATCAGATATGATGAACATTTTTTTGCCGCATGATTGATCAGTTTGGGTTAAGTTCCATAAATTGGGCCTTAAAAAAATAACTGAGGAGGGGTGGTTGATTTTGTTGGAGGGGGATTTACAAGAAAGAAATCCTAGATTTGGATGAAATTATAGGTAGTCAAGTCACTTGCATAAAATTTTCAAGGATCCAAGGCACCTGAATATACATACAATGAAAGGTGGTCAAGGCACTCAGATAATAATGTAAGGGGAGTCAGATAAAGAAAATCCAAGCTCTTCAACCCCCTCCAATTTTGTTTGGAACAGGCCATTTGTCTTGTGAGACATGGATACGAGAATGGGGTCAAACGAGGTCACCAGTTGAACTCCATGTGCGTAACGTTGAGATGACGTTTTCATAAAGTTTTGCTTTCGGCTGAAACTTCTAGTCTCCAGCTTGTCAAACCCGACAACAATAATGGCATCAGGAGCGGGACCCTCACACAAACCACGGCATGTCTGTGAGCTGTGTGATGTCAGAGTAGAGTCTGGTGAGTAGAGTTTGTTTTCGTGAATTTGGGGAGGGGGGCGATTTGTTTTGACAGTCCACTCCAAGCCCTTGTATAATTTTGTATTCATAGACATAACAAAAGACAGTAACAATATAATATTCAAGCCGATATCTTTTCTAGTCGTTGTGTTATCCAATAGGTCACATGCCTCAGTAGATGACATGGATGAAGATTTATAATTCTCCAAAACTCACAATTGAATAATAAAATTAAGTTCCCAAAGTCCTGGCCTTCGTTATGAAGTTTTATGTTTTGTTCTATTTTTATCTGATGCTGTTGAATTTGTGTTGGGGAATAACTTAAATGTTTAGAGTGCTATGTGAGACTTATTTGAGATGCCAAGTTGCTTGGTGTAGAGGTTATCATTTTTTTTTCTTGCATTCAAAGTGACATTTCCCAATTTTACAGCAATCTAGCTTAGGGCTGCAATTTTACAGCAATCTATCTTCCGAACCCCCCGAACCCCCCCTGGCTACGGGCATGGGGGGGGCAACCTGAGAAAAAAAAAGTATATTTTGACCCCTGCTGTTGATGTTCCCCCCGTAGCGGCCACTCTTCAGGCCCACTACTCTGGAAAGCGTCACCAGAAACTCGTGAGCCTGCAGCAGGGTCGTCAGAACCAGGCAGACAGGAGTCTGTTCATCACAGGGTTCAGGAAGGGCACGTCTGAACTGGAGCTTACTGACTACTTCAACAGCTACGGCAGTGTTTCCAATGTCTTCATGGACAAAGACAAGGTATGTGTTATGGGGTTCTGCATGGGGGATATAGACTTAAAGGCCACACCGACTTAATTGACACCCTCTAGATCTGAAGACCCCCAAATTTGTGTGCGTGGGCGAAAAAAAAATTCTGGTCAAAAATAATAATGTTACTAAGGCCACACCAATTTAATTTGTTGGTTCTCGGATTCGCCTCTTCGTTTTTTTCTGATTTGCAAAAAAAAAAAAAAAATTGCATCTGGTCCTGAATCAACTGAAAAATGCTCATGTTTTGCCCCCCAACAGTTGAGGAAAGTCCTTTTCTTCCTAGTTGTTACAGTTGATTCCCATCTATCATTGCAGTGGTTTGATTAAAAGTTCAAAATTCAATGTTTAAACTTTAACCCAGCCTTTTGTGTTGACTTCATGGCTCATTCCGTAGCATTTAAGCCTATAATGGGATGCCTAGACCTGTTTTTATTTTTATTTTTTTTCGCCCTGTCGCTTCATAATATTTTTTCTGAAAAAATCCGAGTACCAACAAATTAAATTGGTGTGGCCTAAACCACAGGAATACAAAGCTGGTATTATGAATTTGTGGCAGTACATACAGTGTAGTGACTAATACGACAAGCCGGCACATGCTGGCTTATTGCGGAATTTATGAATCAGCACTGTACATGTACTGAGTTCTTGAGAGTGGAGCTTCTGTAGCCTGGGTGCCGTCCTCCAGAGTTATTTTCGCTAACTACCATGGACTACCAGGCCCAGAGCTAGGCCAGAGCCTCGGAGGACGTGATCTTTTTTTCTGTTTTTGAGAACAGGCAAAAATCAATGCGTGCGCGGATGTCATCCATAAAATTAGGTCAGTGTCGCCTAATGCTTAAAGTCAAAATAGGTACATAAGGAGGCAACACTTATAGATATACTACGGAAGACGACAAATCGCTTGCACCATATCTGAGCAACTCAATTTGTGACACTACTTGACTGACAGCACAGGTGCATGTATGACTATATTATATAAAGGGGTTATCAACATGTACATACTTCTGACAAGTTTCCATGCGTTGCCAACAGTGAGAAAACCAGACTTCCATTGTAACTTTTGGACAATCTGGCATTGGACTACATGTATGATGTAGTAGTACAGAATGACTATGTACGTGGTATGGAGGAAGTTGGTCTGACCAACGAAAAATATATCATTCAAGCAAACCTTTATAATTACATATGAAAGGCCAATAAGTTGAAGATAATAACTGTTTTTGTACAATTTGTAGCCTCTGTAGCAGGCTTATAGAACTGGGGGTTTGGTGGTCTTCGGCTGTTTTCTGATTAGCCCAGTTCTAAAATGGGGGGAATTCAACCAGGCCGGCTATGTAACTATATTGTGATGAGAAAATAGCACATGAAAGCTCCCATGAAGACCCCCAAAACCCCCAGTGTTTGGTGTGCTATGGAGGCTATATAATTTGTAAATTTTTTTCTTCTATTTGCAGGGTGCCTATGCCATTGTTGAGTTCAGTACCAAGGACAGAGCCCAGACTGTACTTCAGACATCTCCCCACATTCTGGATGACCATGAACTGACAGTCAAACCCAGGGAACTCAAGACTTTCTCCCCTAAACGCCAACACAAGAGGCAGGCTGGGACAGGAGACGGGCAGGCTTCAGAGCAAGAGGAAGTCTTCAGAGCCTTGTGTGGTCAGCCATCGGTAAGGATTTTTTTGTATATAAGGCCACACCAATTTAATTTGTTGCTTCTCGGATCGCCCTGTCCATTTTTTTCTGATTTGATAAAAACGAAATTCTTTGGGGTTAAATTAACTGCAAAATGCTCAATAAAAGACATATTTTGGCCCCAATGGTTGCAAAAACTCCATTTTTTCGTAGTTCTTATGTTTTTCAGTGTAACAATGCAATTTTCTTTCATTAAAAGTTCAAAATCTATTGTTTTAATTATAAACCAGCCTGGTATGTTCACTTCATCAAGTTCATGGCTCATATTGTAACATTTCTGGCTATCATGGGGTGCCTAGGCCTGTTTTTTTTTTTTTTGCCCTGTCGCTCCTGATTATTTCTGAAAAAATCTGAGAAACATTAAATTGGTGTGGCCTAATCAGTGGTAGAAATACTTTTTTGCAGAATACAATATTGCAGACTGTCTAAAATTTGTTCTGCAATTTGGAAATACTGCATAGAGAGTATTATTCAGAAGTTACTGTTCTTCTATGTTTTGTTAGCCTGGGTTCCAGACCCATAGCACACTGGACACAAAATATCTCAGTGAGCCTGGGTCTGGCTGTGCGACTTGTGAAAGGCTCTCAGCCATGGGGAGGAGAAGCTGTGATTGATGACCCCTCACACCACAGGTAGCCTGTTACATGGTACCACCATTGGTCAGCAGGAGACAATCTTGGGCTCAACAGTTAATCATTACCCAGTCAATTTTCTTGATGTATTTGGAGTTTATTTTCCAAAATAACAGCTGCAGAACTTAATTTAACAGTAGAAGTAGTGTACAACCGAGGCTTTCCTGTTTGTTTAATAGGTAACAGTCCTCTAACACACCAGGACAAAATAACCTTATCTACAGTTTTATCTCATCTGCTGGTGAACATTCAAATAAAAGATACAGCTGGGAGTTTTTAACCAATCATACATGTTGTAGCAGAGGTGTAAAATTGCTTCCTGCTGTTCCACCAATGGGGCCTTACGCTCAGATACTGTCACGTCAGCGTTCGAGTGGCACCTGTCTATCCGGCCCTACCAGACCCAGGCTCACTGAGATATTTTGTGTCCAGTGTGCTAAGGGTCTGGCATCCAGGCAAATGTTTTGTTTGCAACCCAAATATACATATTATTGTATGTATCCACACAGGTTGATGATCAGATGAGCATGTTGATGCAGTACCACCAGATCTCACCAGAGGGAGTCCGTGTCAGGTATCTGGTCTGCACCCTCCTACGGGAAGTGTTTCAGGAGTTTTTCCCAGCTTGTCGAGTTTTTCCCTTCGGCTCGTCTGTGAATGGTTTTGGGCGGCCGGGATGTGACCTGGACTTGTACCTGGACTTCGGACGCTCAAAGTTTGACTACCAGTTTGCAACGCCAAGCAGTGGTTCAGACAAGGTAAAAAAAAAAAACAGTTTGGTATATTACTCCATAACTTGAGTTCTGTTATTAAAGGTCTTGTTGATTTGATTATATGGATGACATCCTCCGGGAACCCCAAAACTGATGCGAGCGTGTGAATAAAGAAAAAGTTTAGCAAAAAAAAAGTTGCTTTCGTAATATGAAATCTACATGGTCATGAAGGTTGAACAAATGACACAGAGTCAGGGCTCGAAATTAACATTGTCCCAGTGTCAAATGACACTAAATTTTCAGCTTGGGACAATTCAAATTACGTTTCGGGACAATTTTGGGGCAATTGGAAAATTCTAAGACCATCCACGTCATTTGGGAACGCGATCCATCCATCCTGCTGCAGACTGCTGGCAGCCTATAAATAAATTATATAATACTCTGACAAACATTTAAATTTGACCAGTCAGGGATTCCAAATATCAGGGACGGTGCCATGCCCATGATATTATCATGTATTTCCCTACATTTACTAATAAAGTGGACTTCAAGTTGTACAAATTCAGTTGTTGTTTTCTTATTTTTGTCATCAACTTATTTTCTGAAAAGCAGGCTGGGACAGTCCATCTTCAGTTCGGGACAATTGAAATCTATGTTCGGGACAATTCTGGGACAATAGTGAAAAAAGTTAATTTCGAGGCCTGAGAGTATGGTATGGCAAATGATCTACATGTACTTTTCAAATTTATTTCTTTACATTTTTGTCTTTTTTGTTTGATTTTGGCATTCTATGACATTGGTATTGTTTTCCAATCTTCTTTTTTTTTTTGCAACTTGCGGTATGTATTTGCTCATTTTGCAACTCTTTTGTACAATTTACAGTTTGGTTGAAAACTTTTTTCTTTTTGGAAACGGCCGAAAATTCATGTGCGTTCGAATGTCATCCATATACTAGTAATCAAATCAACATGGCCTAAACTGTAGGCATCCTTTTCATTTGCAATAAGAACCTTTGAAGTAGCCTTAGGTACCATCCTACTTGTATGCCGGGGCTCCCACACTCGCTTCCCTAAGAAGTAGTCTGGAAACGCTTGTATCTATTTCGCTTGGTGATGATATCACATAATGAGGTAGGCCACATGGGGAGGGCTGGGCGGAGCCTCTTCCACTAGTAGATGACCCATCAGTACAAAGTCCACATGGCCATGTGCTGTTTTGGTAAGGGCAAAAAAGTTGCTGCTTATGAATGACAAGTACAGCCACAAATTTACCTTGAGTACAACAATTTCTTGTAGTTTTCTTTAAGCAAGATGTTCTTTGTGGCTCTGTTACTTCAAATGAATGTTAGCAAAATCATGACAACTGAGTGTCTCTCAATGGCTACTACACTCTGTCCAAGATAAATAAACAAACCTTTCCTTGGTCAGTGATACCTGCTGAGCAGGCAGGAGATACATGTAAGCATCACCACATACTGAGAAGGACGTTAGGCTAATGAACAAGACAGGAGGGACCAATCAGCACACTCGGGGCAAAATCTGACCGAGCCAGACTGTTCAGATCTAACCATTTCCAGACTACTTCTTAGGGAAGCGAGTGTGGGAGCCCCGGTATACAAGTAGGATGGTACCCAGGCTACCTTTGAAGTTAAAAGACACTGTAATTCACAGCTATACTGTGATATATACATTTAGTAAACTTGTAAGAAAGGTTTAACAACTTACTTGCTAGTACATATATGTTGATAAAACCAAAGCTATTCTTTACATTCAAGATTTGCAATGTTAACAAATTTATAGAAATTTTGTCATAGTATGCAGATGTTTGCAGGTGCAGATATTGTAATATACTAATAAAGGGTTAATGCCCCGACCCAAGGTGTATATGGTGAGATAATCCCTCGTGAAAAAAATATGTTACGAAAAAAACTATGTCACATGAAACAAGATGGTGTGGACAGAAAAACAGATCATCTACTAGGTAATCATCTGCGGTAACTGCGTGACATTGAAACAGTACCACTCTTAGTGGGGGTGTCAAAATTTCTGTTTTGTATTTTCCTGTTCAAATTTCATTTATACCTTTTTATTTGTGCCATATTTTCAATAAAAATATTCAAAATGAACTATAATACATTTTTAATAGATAAATACTACAATGTACATGTACAAGTCTTAACACTAATGTGTCCTGTCCCCCGTATAATGGTACGGTCCAAAAAGTGGGCGGTTATCTGCATAACTGCCCACATGATAAACCATGGGAAATGGAGCCTTCTGATTGGTCGACGGCTACTGGCTATATGATAATATGCATTATATCCTTACCACTTTGCAGAATTTGACTGATCCTTCAATAGAAGAAGCTACAATAGAGAAGACTGTTGACTCATCAGAGATGAACTCCACAGACACAGCTGATCATGAGTTGGACAGCGACAATGTCATCTCCATGGAGGACATTGAGTCAGCCTCAGTTGAGGAACTTCTGGCCCTGCTGGCTAACATATTAAAGAGATGCGCACCTGGCTGTGCCAAAGTGCAGGTGGTTCCCTCCTCCAGGTGTCCTGTGGTTAAGTTCGTTCACAAGGATACAGGACTCAGATGTGATATCTCCATCAACAATAGGTACTTCTTTATCTAGCAGTGAAAATTTTGCCAAGGCCACACCAAAGTAATTTCTTGGTTAACGGATTCGCCCGCTTCATTTTTTTCTGATTTGCAAATTAAAAAAAATTGTTCTAAATCAACTGCAAAATGCTCAATGTAAGGCATATTTTGGCCCCAATGGTTAATGAAAGTCCTTTTTTTCCGAGATGTTAAAGTTTTTCAATGGAAAAGTGCAACTTTGTTTCATTAAAAGTTCAAAATCTAATGTTTTAATTATAAACCAGCCTGGTATGTTGACTTCATGGCTCATATCGTAACAGCTATCATGGGGTGCCTTGGCCCATTTTTTTTTCACCCTGTCACTTCTTATTTTTTCTGAAAAAATCTGAGAAAAAAGAAATTAGATTGGTGTGGCCTAAAGAATGGTTTCTTTTTGAAATAGCATAGTTTCTTTTATTAATGTATTAGTAAACTTATTGTATGCAATAAAAATAATCAAAGAAAGAAGGCACAAGTAAATGAGGCATGTAAAGGTGTCTTGCAAAAAATGTTGTTTTTCTGAATAAATTTTGGAAGTAACGTTTTGAGTGGCCAAGCTGTGCCTATTTGTCCAGATAGAATACTAGTATGTAGGTTGATTGCATATGAGTGGGGGTGGGGGAGATTGACAAGCAGAATGACAGGAGGTCAAAATGTCAGACTCAGCCATTCATGAAGAATATGATTAATCTGGCCAGTATGAATTACTGGTTAGAAATTATCTATGAATCTCTGATTCCTTCTTATATATTATTATAAGACCACACCGATTTGATTTGTTGGTTCTCAGATTTTTTTCAGAAGAAATATGAAGTAACAGGGCGAAAAAAAATAAAAAGAGGTCTAGACATCCTATTAAAGTCCCACACCCTCAACACAAAAAGTGGGTTAATATTCAAACAATGAATTTTGAACTTTTAATGAAACCACTGCATTCATTTTGATAGATGAAAAAACGTAACAACTAGGAAGAAAAAGACTTTCCTCAACTGTTGGGGGCAAAATATGAGCATTTTTAGTTGATTCAGAACCAGAATATTTTTTTTTTGAAAATCAGAAAAAAAATAAAGAGGCGAATCCGAGAACCAACACATTGAATTGTTGTGGTCTTAATAGAAAAATGCCATATCAACTTCATTCATACATCTTTGTACCACCCCTCCCTCCCTCCCCAGACTTGCCCTCCACAACACAGAGCTGCTCCACCTGTACAGAACTGTGTACCCCGGCCTGACTCGGCTGGTGTGTGTGGTGAGGGAGTGGGCCAGGCTGGGTGGGATAGGTGGGAACAGTGCAGGGGGAGGGCCACGGCTCACTAACTACGCCCTGACATGGATGGTAGTCTACTACCTACAGACAGAAGCTGTGCTGCCATCAGTACAACAACTCAGGGATGTGTGTGGTGAGTTTTGTCTCAATGACATATTGTAGTGTAACGAACAGTAGGAGCTAGTAAAAACCCTTCTGGTCCCAGGCCGGGGTTCAAACCCACAACCTCCCGAGCACCAGCTTCATAACTGAAGCTCTAACCGCTCGACCAAAAAGGTCTGGACCCATTGGCCGGGTCAGTTGGTAGCGCCTATAAACCCCTCACTGTTACACTACTCCCCCTTTTCTTGTCAAGATTCGTCCTCGAATCTTCCGAATTCGACATCCCTGGAGCGGCACTCTTTGCCAGAACTCCCGGGGCCGGTGTGGGAACCACTGTAAGAAACAGGAGGAGTGAGTAAAAACAGATAAAAACCCCTGGTCCCAGGTCGGGGTTCGAACCCACGACCTCCCGACCACCAGCTTCATAACCAGACGCTTTAGACCCATTGGCCGGGTCAGTTGGTAGCGCCTATAAACCCCCCACTGTTACAGTAGGAATCTTATAACATCAACAAGAAATGATATTTGAAATAGATAGTTACACATTTCAACTCAGCATGACTACATCAGTACATGTACATTATATTAAGCCAAACTTATGATGGTGATAAAAAAAGCTGGCCAGCTAGAAAATTCAAAGTGTAGTTGCCATTGATTTACAAAAGACTAAGAATGACAATTATTATGTACCAGTTCTTGATATTCTGAAAAGAAGAAAATGTATTGTTTTTAAGGATGCAGAAGAACTGTCATGTACCATATTTTTTGACGAAATGGAAAAAAATGTAAAAATGACAAAATTTATAAGTACCTAAGACTATACCAATTTAATTTGTTGGTTCTTGGATTTTTTCAGAAAAAAATTTGAAGCAACAGGGCGAAAAAAAAAATAAAATAAAAACAGGTCTAGGCATCCTATTATAGCCCCAAATGCTATGATAAGAGCCATGAAGTCAACACAAAAGGCTGGGTTAATGTTTGAACAAAGAATTTTGAACTTTTAATCAAATAACTGCATTGATAGATGGAAAAAACTGTAACAACTAGGAAGAAAAGGACTTTCCTCAACTGTTGGGGGCAAAATATGAGCATATTTGGGTTGATTCAGAATAAGAATCTTTTCTTTTTTTTGCGAATCAGAAAAAAATGACGAGGCAAATTTAAGAACCAACAAATTAAATTAGCGTAGCCTAATCTTAATATGATTGATGAAAAGGAAATAGATTCCAATACTCATTACATTTTCCTGTTCTGTGCAGACCCTACTGAGGTGTTGTTGGTGGATGGCTGGGACTGTTCCTTCACAAGACAGATAGACAAGTTCCCAACCAAGGGAAAAACACCCTCACCAGGTATCTACAAAACATTCTTCTAAAATGGTTGTTGTACATGATTGTACATGATCAGGGCTGGAAATACTGGGTGCATGTGCACTTTTTTAGGTTAGTGCACCTAATTTGGAGCTGTGCACCCAATTTCTTTCTGTGGGTGCACCAGTGCATCCAAATGTTTTTTATGTAAGTTTACATATATGTCATGAAAAGATGTTAAATTTAGAGTAGTACTAGTATTCAGCATATTCTTAACATCTACATTGTAAGTGTCAGAAAAATGGTAAAATCATTCTTGTAGTACTTTTCTTTAGAAATAAAACATATTAGTTTTCGCTTTTATCTTATATGGTGCACTCAATTATTTTAGGCTGGGTGCACCAGTTCACCTATTCCCAAAATTGAATTTTGAGCCCTGTTGTTGTACATGTAGTGCCTATAGCTACCAGACTAACAGTAACACTGCCAGTTCAAAAATGTAAAATTGAGCCAAATAGAAGGAATAATTGGCTGGGGAAGTTTAGCCACCACAGAGTGATTTGATCACGGAAGGGGAAATTATAATTATAGTATAATAATCTTCCCACAGACTACTCTCCTGGCCAATTATTCTTCCCTTTTCTTGCTGAATTTTATGATCAGTATTCTGTACCCTTAGTAGCTATATATATAGGAAGGCCTGCATCTGGTGGAGGCTAGAATTAGATGACAGGATTATTGCTCTGCATACATGTATTTCTGATCTCTTTGGAAGAAGTTACACTTTTAATTTAATTAATTTTAGTAATACTCAATACTTTTCATCATTGTTGTTGCTTTGGCCATTTTTATCTTTATTGGTCAGGTATACTTACCAATAAATAGATTCTTTTGCCAACCTCAGTATCCTTCAATTCACAAGTTTCCCATACCCAGAATGCATTGCGAAAATCGGAGTCTAAACCTCATTTGCATACGACAGGAAGGCATCTGAATGATCCTGGTGACGTTAAACAGCTTGCTTTTCATTGTGTTTTGAGGTGTTGGGGCATTTTCTGCTCAACATTAATTAAATTACTATGTGGGTCTAATCTGACAACAAATAGAGAATGAAGTTTTTGTGTTCTTTTTAACATGGGACATGTGGTTTGTAACTTTACATTACAGTTGTCATTCTCTACTTGTTGTCAGATTCAGTTTTAATCAACATTGAGCATAAAATGCCCCAACACCTCAAAACACACTGGAAAACAAGCTGTTTAACGTCACCAGGATCATTCCGATGCCTTCCTGCTATGCAAATGAGGTTTTGACCCCTGTTCTCACAATGCATTCTGGGGATGGGAAACTGATGAATTCAACGGTGTGTCTCTTACATTAATATTGGGAACTGTATTTGTATAGCAGATATATATGTAATTACAATAAACTATGTTTTCTTTACAGTTGAGCTGCTGAAGGGATTCTTCCACTTTTTCAGCAAATTTGAATTTGAAACCTCAGTGGTGTCTCCTCTCTCTGGGCAGCACCTGTCAATCACCCAAGTTTCAACCAATCAGATCATCCCAACAGCAGGTGTGCAAGGAGAATCACAGGCTTTGCAAGCAACCAATCAGGCCTCTACTTCCCAGCATGCATCTGAGGAAGTGACAGCCAATGAGGGTTCAGATAGCTGCCATCAGTTCAAGATTGGGCCAATCAACTTTCAGGATCCATTTGAGTTAAGCCACAATGTAGCAGGCAATGTCAATGAAAAAACTGCACAAAGGATTGCAGAGGAGTTCAACAAGGCAGCCGAAATTTGTTCCAAGCAGAATTTTGGCACAAAGATGTCTTATTTACCAGATTCGGTGCCATGGGGGGTTGCCAAGCTGTTAAAGAATGCTGCTAAACCAAGACAGCATTCGAAGAAGCAGTGCCTTCACCAAACTCCCACAGCGTCTCCTAAGCCCCTGTCACCTGAACCGGGCATCCCCAATGAGTCACCTGACCTAAAACAAAGAGATTATGTCATTCCGATACAGATGAAGATGTCTAAACTTCCACCACACTTTGTAACTGCCTTCTCCAACTCTGACGAGTTGAAACAAACGTGGTGTGAGAAAGTGGAAAATTTTGTGGGAGAACTTTTCACACGGGTACTCAAGATGGAAGAACAGTCTAAAGTTGCAAAGACAGAAGATATCCAAGAAAGTTCGGAAGATGTTACAAGATCCCCACATAGTGATGTGAGGTTGAAGAATGTTGAACAAAGCGATATCAGCAGCAGGAAACGAGGTCACAGTCCGGAGGTACATGGAACAAAGTTGAAGGTCAAACGTGTGGAGCATTCTGAAGACCCAGAGGTCAAAAGTTGCCAAGGTCACTCATTTTCACATGCTACAGGAACCCAGCAAGGTATAGGTAGGAGCCACGAACTTCTGAAATCTTGTGCAGAAAAACCAAACAGTTCCTCAGGAACAAAGTTGAAAGTCAAACGTGTGGAGTGTCCTGAAGATCCAGAGGTCAAAAGTTGCCAAGGTCACTCATTTTCGCATGCTACAGGAACCCAGCAAAAACCGAACAGTTCGTCAAAGGATACAGATGTGTTAGCTGAAAGTCCTTGTCATAACATCGAGAAAACTCCAGATGACATCACTAAGGTTGATGAAGATAATGCCATTCAAGATGAACAATTAAAAAGCATCACTGCGCCTCACGGTCAGGGTACAAGTCATGAAAATGGCAGTAAAAGGCATTTGTTGGTGAGTTATGTTACCAAGCACAGAGTGTGGGTGGGCAGGAGGAAGGTACGCAGGCAGCTAGCAAAAGACACAATCCCTGGGCTCTCATTGGAGGAACAAGTGACCAATCAGATTATAGAAGAGGACCCAGTGGGCGGGGCAGAGCTGGTGTTCCAGGTGCAGTCTGGGAGGAAGTTTGATGTGAAGAGTACAGCTGTGGAGCTGAGGTTGTCAGCATGGAGAGGAGACAGGGAGTTCAGGGACTTGTTCCACTTCCTGGAGCTGTTTCTGGTTAAAATGGTGGAGAATCACTTGATGGAGTAAATAGTGGCTGTCATGAAATGACAATAAAATGCAATTCAAAGGAGTTGAGAAACATACTCTACATGTAGTACTTCCAGGGCTCAAAATATTGGGTGCATGTGCACCCAATTTTTTCTGTGGGTGCACCAAATATTTTTGTAGGTATTTTTGTACATTATGAAATGTATAGTGTAGTATCTGAGTGTCAGAAAAATAGTAAATTCTTTGTTTAGGATTTTGAAGTTAGCTCCCATTTCAGATTCAAGATCTGTAATTAGGTTTTGTTTTATATGGTGCACCCCCAAATTTTTTGTGCACCTAATTTTTTTTAGGTTGGGTGCACCAGTGCACCTATTCCCAAAAATGAATTTCGAGCCGACTTCTATATATATTGAGACCTCTAATTTCTTGCAATTGGCACATTTATTGATACATAGAAAATGGTATACAATACAAAATTTACATTATTCTTATAAGACAAAAATCTGAAACAGGGGCCAAGCTCACTCAATACATGTTGTACATCCAAATTGTTTTATTTTGAAATTCATTTTTTTTTTACATTTTGTTAGTAACATTTTGTACATTCAGAGTCATTCCCAGCAGCTTGGCTAACAGGTTAAATATAAAATATTATGTGAGATTTGAAAAAAAGATAATCTCATAGCAACAGAATATTTAACATTCATTTCTGATACAAAGTTATTGACTGTTTAAGTTCATGAAGCTTTAAATACTGAAAATAGATACTTGAGTACTCAGATTTCAAGATTGAACTAATGTTTTGTATGTGCTTACTAATAGTCAGAAAGGTACATTGTGACCAAGGGCGACATATATAGCTACGAAAACAAAGTATGATTCACAAATTAGTTTCTCTGGGCGTGAAATTTAAGGATATTAAAAAGAATAAATATTAATATTATAATTGTAGTGCCAAGTCCATTGTAGCTTGCTGAACACCTAGTATGTATGCTACATGTATGTGTACCAAGATTTTGTAAAATATCAGAGGTACATGTACTTAGTAGTGTTGTATCAAGAAGACTAAATATTTAAACCTCCTTGGTTGTATACATGTACTTATATGTGTGTATAATGTAGTCAAATCTTCTTTTTTCCCCTCTTTCGCATTTTCTGCCAAGCCCTTGTCAGTAGGACATTTTTTTCACCTTCAACAACAAAAAACATGTTAAATTTACAAGATTTTCCAGTTCCTTTAAAGACTAACATTACACTTGCCAGGCCAACTATAAATGAATTGGGACATAATTTACATGTATAAAGATAACTTTCTTCTTCAGTATTTATGGTATTTTTAATTTTTTTTCCTGAAACCATTATATAAAACCATAATTTTCCACAAATATCCATAATAAAAATATGTCAAGCTTCCTTTCTTGAGTAGCCATTCTTGATTCCTTCAAATTTGAACATGATGGTAAAAAGTTACATCTTAATTCTACATTAGGCCACACTGACTTTATTTTACGGATGACATCCTCTGAAGACCCCTAATATAGTGCGCGCGGGCGAATAAAAAAAATTCCGGCCAAAAACAAATATTAATGCTACTAAACCACAGGAATACAAAGCTGGTATTGTGAATTGCGGCCGCAGTATATAGCGACGTATACGACAAGCTGGCTTTGTACGTTGTACGTATGTACTGAGTTCCTGAGTCGTGAAGCTTCAGTAGCCTATGTGCCCACCTCTGTATTGTCGCCAACTACCATGGACTACCAAGGTGATCTTTTTTTGAGAGAGGGAACAGGCAAAAGTCAATGCGCGTGTGGATGTCATTTCATAAAATTAAATCGGTGTGGCCTTACCCTTATAAAAATTGCAGAGTGAGAAGTTTTCTCATTACAACTACATGTTTGGTACCACTAAAGCTCACAACCTTACATGTACATAACAAAAGTCTTCTGTCAGTATTATATTAAACTCCTGAATCAATAGCTTAACTACAAACACTGACAAGAGTAACAATTTCATTCAACATATACAGGTCAATATACATCACGGATTGTCTTCTAACTGCAACAAAAGTACTTTTAAAATGTACGATATTTACAAAGTTGCATAATACAAGCTGTAGGTTCTTTTACAAGCTTTCTTGGATTTTCTAGCTAAGGTACATTGTACAAAATAAAATGATAAATCATTAATAAGTGATAGGCCACACCAATTTAATTTCTTGGTTAACGGATTTTTCTAGAAAAATAATGGAGCGGGCGGGTGAGAAAAAAAATGAAAACAGGCCTAGGCATCCTATTATGGCCCAAAATGGTACGATAGGAGCCATGAAGTCAACACACCAGGCTGGTTCAAAATTTAAACAATGAATTTCGAAGTTTTAATGATACCACTGCATTGAAAGATTGAATGACTGTAACAAGTAGTAAGAAAATGACTGTTTTCAACTGTTCAGGGCAAATATGAGCATTTTGCAGTTGATTCTGAATTTAACTTTTTATTTTTATTTGCAAATCAGAAAAAAATGAAGCAGCGAATCTGTTAACCAAAAAATTAAATTGGTGTGGCCTAAGACACAGAAACATAAATTAGATCTACATCAACTAGCAACAGGTAGATTGGAATTTGTAGATTTACATTATACATTGTTAGTAGGATTGTAGGAAGCATTCATTTTTAGAACCCAGATACCCAAACCAGCACCATTACCCAAACCAAATTGTGTAAACATTACAAATTTTGAAAAATCTCCATCATGGCATCAATGCTGCCTCTCTCAAATATTAACAGTGGTAAGGCCACAGCAAGTAAATTTTATGGATGACATCCTCCTCAGACTCCAAATCTAATGCAAGTGGGTGAAAAAAACAAGACAGGCTGAAAAACCCAAGGTTCCTACATTTTAAAATTTTGACTAATATTATTAATCATTGTACAAATGGTTTTGATTCAGAGGGAACATCACACATACATTTGTACACAGCCAGCATCACATATCACTGCATCAAAGTAAGAAACAAAACATTAAATCAGAGCCTTTTCTTGTCTCTTCTCTTCATAGTTACTGTATCTGACAGTGTCATCCTTCCGGCAACAGACATCTTTGCCCATTTTCGGCATGTTGACCGCTGTCAGAAGGCAACAAATTTTTTTTTTCCCAAAATCAGGTGAAAATCAATGCGTTGGCTGATTTTATCCATAAAAATTACTTGCTGTGGCCTTAGGCAGTACAATATCATACGTACAGTTTACTACATATCTTTGTCTACTAGCTATAGTATCTTCTAAGTAATGGTTTAAAGTTTGAACAGAAATGCACATCTCCTCTCTATCTGCCTTTTGTCATGTACATTATGTTTCTGATTGAGCTCGTGGCATATTTGTTGCCATTTTTCTTATCTAACATAGTTTTGCACCTTCTCAATTTTTACATTAGACAAGAAGATGAAAGAAACGATTAAAAAAAAGTATTTTTCACAGGTCCATACCAATAACATGTAACTCTCCTTTGTACAATATACAAACTTGGTGGGTGGAAAATCATCTTGTTAATTAAATCATTAATGATGTCCCACTGTCAACAGTACCTTGCACCTGTACAGTGTTGAGCAGCTTATGTACTGAAGACCTATTAAGCCTTGGTCACAACCCGCCGTACGTGCTTCTGCGTGCTGTCTTCGTACAAAAACATGGGCAAACGTAGGGCATCCGTGAGTGGTGAGTACCGCCTCCGTACGGAATCCTACAGATTTGGGAGCACGCAGACACGCCGTAGAACTTTAAGTGCGTGTAAAACTTTTTCTGCGTGCGGCCTGTGGATTCACCACCCGTACGTGCGAGTACGAGCGATGCGCATGCCCCGTACGTACCGTATGGAAGAAGCACGTGTGAATATGGCCTCCTTACGGTAAAGTTGCAATCGCACAGAGATCGTACTTTATAAGCACATACAACTCACCAATTGTGCAACAAATGATGCACGCAACCGCTCACGGCCAGACGTGGCATGCAGACCACCTTGCGCAACCGTGAGTGACGTGCGTCGATGCCACTCCTTCCCCACGTTTTCAGAAAAAACGTAGCAGACGTAGCTTCCCAAAAAACGTACGGAGAAAAAGCACGTACGGCGGGTTGTGACCAAGGCTTTACTGAAGACCAACATATACAATATATACCAACATGTCCATCACGAACATTTTTTAATATACAAAATTTTTGGATGGTACTCTGGTAGCTAGGGCTATTTTTCTGTGTCGTCGGTTTCTGGTCTGGTGTGTTCAGTTTCTGAGAGAACTTCTTTTGATGCGGGAGTGAACTTAAATCTGTAGTTCTCCTCTAACTGTTGTTGTCTTCTCTGTTCTGCCAGAGCCTCCTCCCCTCCCATCTGAAACAGGTCAGAGGTCAAGGTGAAAGTAAGGGCATGTCAAAGGTCATTTACAGGACAGGGTCAGCCAGAGGGTAAGAGGTCAAGGTGAAAGTAAGGGCATATTAAAGGTCATTTACAGGACAGGGTCAGCCAGGGGGTAAGAGGTCAAGGTAAGGGCATGTCAAAGGTCATTTTCAAGAGGGTAAGAGGTCAAGGTGAAAGTAAGGGCATGTCAAAGGTCATTTACAGGACAGGGTCAGCCAGAGGGTAAGAGGTCAAGGTGAAAGTAAGGGCATATTAAAGGTCATTTACAGGACAGGGTCAGCCAGGGGGTAAGAGGTCAAGGTAAGGGCATGTCAAAGGTCATTTTCAAGAGGGTAAGAGGTCAAGGTGAAAATAAGGGCATGTCAAAGGTCATTTACAAGTCAGGGTCAGCCAGAGAGTAAGAGGTCAAGGTGAAAGTAAGGGCATGTCAAAGGTCATTTACAGGTCAGGGTCAGCTAGAGGTTACAAAAGTGGGGGTATGACAGTACTGTAAATCACTATGCGGTAGCAAAGGTTCGCAGATTGAGAACAATTTAGTAATATGTGTTCACAGAATACATTCGTGTTGCAGCAAAAAGAATAATGTTGAGTTCATGGTACAGATGTGGCTGCAAAAACCATGAATATAAAAGTAGCACAAAAAAATTGTGATTTACTGAAAATTTGGCTGTATGCTAAGATTACAGTTACTAAATTGATGGCTTAAATTTTGTTAATCCATTGCTGGTATATACATTGTAATAACTGCATTGCATGGTATGGACACTACACAAAAAACCTTTCCAAACATAAACTTTAAGGCTGAAAAGAGGATTTACTGTTTTTTTTTTAAATTTTCTTCTGCCAACTACATTGTATGCTACATGTAACATGCTACCCTGGTACCCTGTGATGATACGTACCAGCATTGTTACTATCATTTCTCTAAAGTATGACGTCTCTTCATCTCCCAGTAGATGGACATCATCATCATCACCATAATAACCAGTGGTGATGATCTTCACTTCAATATTCCCTGTGGACAGTAAGAGAGAGTATGACGTCGATGAAGGTTAGACATCCAGGTAATACAATACGCCAAAAAGCAGGAGTACACTTAAGCTCCTGTTCTGCATAACAGGAGCTTTCTGACTAATTTGCATTATCTTGTCTTGACTTGTAAAAGCTATTATAGCTTTTGTTCCCTTTTGGACTTCCAAAAAATTGTCTTCACTTTATTTGCATAATAGTTTGTGCTTATAAACCTCAGTCACTGGTCTCTCAGTCACTGATGAAAGCTAGTGGATACTAGCTGAAACGTCTGACGTTTTCAAAATCATATCCAGTTGCTTGAGTAACTGTTTTTTTGGAGGACATGTAAGAGAGAGATGACATTACAAAACCAGGAAAAAAGTCACAAAACTTATCATCCTAGGGCATTAGTGCCATACATTGTAGTTCATTAAATAAGACCTTGAAAAACTAGTGAGGAGGACATCAGGGGTACCGATATTGATATTTGCTGTGCCCATGAGAACCACAGGACAGAGGCAAATGGCGAGCTGCCATCAAGCACCATTATCGGTGTGCAGGCACGTCTAACCCTCAGTTATGGAGAACAACAGACGATAAACAGGATAGAAAGAGAAAGAAAGAAAGAGAGACCTTGTGTCTTCATCCCAGCCTTCTCCAGCTCTTCCTTCACGGTTTCCTCCATCTTCCTGCGGTCCTGTGCAGATATCCCATCATGCCCTCTGTTCTCCTGCAGCCGCTCCTTGTCGCCCAGCTGAATCTTGGTGACGCGAACTTTGACCTGGTCCCTGCTCCTCAGGTCCTGTTTGGGGGGAGGGGTGGTGAAGGGGGGTTCTGGGGAAACAGAAGACAGTGCAAACAGAAAGTGAAGAAGACTGGCAATGAAAACATACATTGCCATGGCGACGGTGGTTGCTGGTAGGGTTATTGTTTGCATGGCACTGCCATGATTTCATGATTTTGAGGAAGACTTGGTACCTGTTAAGTCTAGACAGATACAGTGCACTCCTCCCCAGAGTGTATAGTGAACGAGCCCGGGGGTCACAGAAAGCAGGGCCATCTGAGGAAGAGAGGTCTTCCCAAGGGTTTCCAGGAATGTGGGCATAGATGTGGGTCAGAGAAATGCCTGTGGACATTCCATTCTTGTGGAGAAAATGCCTGTGTACAATTCCTAGAATTCTTGCAAATTGCACACAATACTGTACCATTAGGCTCCTCCCTTAGACATCGCCAAAAACAATGTTCACAAACAGTAAGTCTTTAGATAGGACTTTTTGTTTTCCAAGTTTTAGAACTGTTTTCCTATTTTTGTAGAACAAAAAATAACATATAAATAAATATATATTATGGCACATTAAACAAATAAATATATGACAATAACAACTTAAAATATATGACAATAACAATTTAAAAGGAAAACAAGTCATACAAAACACAGGAAAATATACAAAACACCTAGTTTTATAACCTGAGTCAGACATGTAGATTCAGAAGAAGCTACTGTCATTATCATAATTTATGCAATCGGTGGTACATGTGTCTTCATCTTTGCATTTCAAGACCATTTTCAGCTGTGTTCTAGTATATATTGATAATGAACTCTTCACAAACTTTTTCATGTATATATAATATATACACTTTGGAGATCTTTTAACCCATTCAATCAATGACCTTGTAATTTTGAGTAATTTTGTAAGTATGAACAATACACAAAGTTTAATACACAGTCACTTGTAAGGTCATCAACATTTTCCAGAACCGTCTCTTGCATGTATGCTGTAAAATTTTACATCAACGTCAAAAATACAACAAGAATTCGGAGACATCATCATATGTACCTCCATGAAATATATGAGTTTTTGTAAATGTTTTTTTATTCGTCTCATTTACACAAATACTGAACAAATAATGAACAAACACACAGACAGACACACACACACACGCCAAAAACAATACCTCTATTTTTCATGGAGATAATAATTTAAAAAGTCAGACCTTCATCTTCCTCTTCCTCCTCCTCTTCTAGAGCATCCACCTTGCCCCCCTCCCCCTTTGTCTCTGTTGTACTTTTCTGCTCCATTTTCTCCAGTAGTTTGTTCAGGGTGTTTGCCAGTTTCCTGGCCGCATCGCTGCGATCCACCCCGGGGTCTGTGCCCTCTTCTGAGTACAGTTCTTCCTCAGCCTGGAAAAACGGGATATTAAAAATGACTTAGGCCACTGCAAGTAAATTTTATGGATGACATCCTCCGCATACTCTAAATCTAACGCGAGCGGGCGAAAAAACAAGGCTGGCCGAAAAAACAAGGTTCCTACAATTTAAAATTTTGACTCAATCATTGTACAAATGGTTTTGATTCAGTAGGAACATAACATATGGGATATACACAGCCAGCATCACATATGACTGCATCAAAGTAAGAAACAAAACATCAAATCAGCCTTTTCTTGTCTCCTCTCTTCATAGTTATCTGCCATCCACCTTCTGGAATGACATCTTTGCCCATTTTAACCTCAAAATTTCTTTTTTTTTTTTCCAAATCAGGCGAAATTAATGTGAGTGCTGATGTCATGAATAAAAATTACTTGCTGCATGTGGCCTTATGACATGTGATCACTATCAAGTGATCACAATGTCAATCCATTAAAGATCCCACCACACCTTTCGAAAAAGTGTAGGGGCATGCCCCGGTGTGCGATGGTCCAAATACTTAATGATTAATCTGATTATTCACTACGGACTCCAGGAAGAGTAGTGTGAAATTCACACTAATGGAGATCCTAAACAAACAAACAAAAGTCAACGCTTATGTTTGACCAATCAGACCACTGACAGCTAGCTACATGTACATGTAGAGAAAGTTCTTTGCCTACCTCATCTATGATGTCATCGAACTGCTGGGTCATCTCCTGCCGGACTTTCTCTGTCATTTTAGACAGCCTGGATCTGTGTGTCAGGCTGTCAAGTTCTTCTTCAAACTCCTTCACAAAGTCTTCATCCTCTTCATCTTCCTCCTCATCTTCATCTTCATCTACATCATCATCATCATCATCTTCTGTACCGTCAGCCATGTTCTCCTCCTGCCCAGAGGTGTATCTGTCCCAAATAAGAATAAAAATCTTTGTTGAGAGTAACTTGTTCGCCACCCTACAACCGCTATCACATAGGCGTAATGTTGCAAGCCTTGCGTTATTTTATCACTACTTCCACCGTGACGGTAAATGCTGCGTGGAACTTCATTCGCTAGTGCCCCCACTTCGAACATTCTCAGCAGGGACACGTCTTGCCACTTCCACTGAAGCGAATCACCCTTTCTTCCTCCATTCACCACCTCTTAGGAGGAAGTTCCACGCTGAAAGCTTCTTTCCCAGAACAATATCATAATGGAATAAGCTACATTTTTTGTACCTTGTGATTGTTTCCCACATGAGTATAACCTTAAACTCTTTAAGTCTAAGGTCAACAAAAATCTGTTCTTACTGGCTGAACAGTAACCAAAAACATTTTGAGTGGCTCTCACGTGCCTTGTTTTGTGGTGACCTACATATCCTACATGTATGAAGTAAAAAAAAAAGAAGCCACAAGTCATTGACCAAATAGGAGGCTAGCTTCTCACCTATCTTAAAATACGTACAAATCAAGTACACACACTTTTTCTTGAACAAAAAACTTTCAACAAGTCTTGCAAAGTCCTTTAATATGACTGTCAGTGTCAGATGACTGTCAAGTGTCATCATTCATGGGGGGAGGGGGGGATGAAATCATGTGGCTTCTGAGTCAAAAACAAAGACTCAAAAGTAGCAAAACAAGCGAGTCAAATCTGTATTTAATTTGATACTACATGTAGGGGTGGGTACTGCTTCAGCCAAACCGGTTTAAACCGGAACGACATTCGGGAACTGAGTAAAAAAAACGAAACGTGAAAAGAGGATCATCGAACCTGATGTACATTTCTGTACACATCAGATTCTTCAGATAATCTGGCCATGGCAGGTAAAGAAAATAACCTTGAATCAAACTAGATTGGCCTTAATCCATGTTTGTCTCTTTCTGTAACTGTGTTCAGCTTCAATATACAAAATTGTTGAAAACTTGAACATAATATATAACACGTCGATGAAGGTTAGACATACAGGTAATACGATATGCCAAAAACCAGTTACTCATCAAGCAACTGGATTATGATTTTTCAGACGTTTCAGCTAGTATCCACTAGCTTTCGTCAGTGACTGAGAGACCAGAGGGGAAATGCAGGTATAATATATAACACACTAGTGAGTCACCTGTACTCGTGTTTCGCACTCCAAAATATGATATTATTATTATATAGTGCTACAGTAACTGTACAATAATCAGGTCCAGGTTTAGGTCCGGACCTGGACCTGATCCTCTGAATCTGATCCGGACCTGAATTTTCTATACAGGTACCCACCCAATGTTATCTTGAAAGTTCATCTGTGTTCAACTGGGTAGAAATCATTATGAAGCAAGTTTAAGCTGTAATTTTTCAACGCAAGAAATTGGACTCACCTAAATTTTCGACCGTACAACTCCAGTCTTTGTCAAGGAAATCAATGAACAATCCACCACTTCCGTGACGTCAGGCAGATAACACACGTGACTCCGTGAGCAGTGGATCATACATGTAGGTTGCAGAAAGTCTGTGGCGCCCCCCGTCTCTGTTGAGGGATGGATGTAATGCCCTAAAGTAGATGGCCTCTTTAATCCCACCTATGATCCACTGCGCACGGAGTCACGAGTGTTGTGACGTCACAGAAGCGGTGGATTGTTCATTCCTTGACAAAGACTGGAGTAACAGTCGAAAATTTGGGTGAGTCCAATTTTTTGTGTTGGAAATTACAGTTTAAACTTGCTTCATAATCATACCTTAATGTGTTGTCGTTCTGAGTTTCCTGCCCCATGGCATCCTGGGAAGGTTCTTGCTTCTGCAGCCGTTCCTGCACAACTTCCTTCACCACCTTCCTCAGGTCTCCCGTGTCCACCGAGTCGGCAAGGTTCAGACTGTCTATCTTCTGGTCAACGTCTGGGGGAAACAAGGGGGAGTTTTTCAGGTATCTGTGTGTGAAGTGTACTACCGGTAATGCGGTTAATACCTCATTGGTTAGGCCACACCAATTCAATTTGTTGTTTCTCAGATTTGCCTTGTCCTTTTTTTCTGATTTGCAAAAAAATGAAAAAATTTAAATTTTTTTCTTCTAAATCAACTGCAAAATGCTCAATGAAAGACATATTTTGGCCCAGACGGTTGAATAAAGTCCTTTTCTTCCTAGTTGTTAAAGTGTTTTTTTTTTAATGTAACAGTACAATTTTGTTTCATTAAAAGTTCAAAATCTATTGTTTCAATTATAAACCAGCCTGGTATGTTCACTTCATGGCTCATTTTGTAACAGTTCCAGCTATCATGGGGTGCCTTGGTCTGTTTTTTTTTTTTAATTTCGCCCCGTCGCTTCAATTTTTTTCTGAAAAAATGCAAGAAACAACAAATTAAATTGGTGTGGCCTTACAGTTACGTATGTCCAATTTAAGAAGATTGTGGCTGAAAAACATGACTCTACGGCAGATGTCTCAATTACATTATACAGTGGAAGGCAAAAATGGGAATACGATTGTAGTTCTTAGTTTACTTAATACCTTTAAAAATCCTTTTGTTCTCTTGAAAATTTTGGTCCATATTGGAGACTTTTGGGCTAGAAGGAACAGGTAGGGTCTAAAGTTTCCTACTTTGGTCAATTTTTGTTGATTTCACCAGGTTAGTGGGTGTAATGACGTGGTTAATTATCTGGGTGAGCCACTGGATCATGTGGTCACCACCTGCCTTCAGCATCTCCGCTGTGATGTTACACTGATGCCCGGAGCTTTCGAGTTCTTCAGTTTCCTCAGAGCAGCCTTCACCTCGTCTGGAGTAACAGGGGTGATAGGGCAGTCCGGGTTAGCGCCATCTGTCGCATCTGAAGCCTCAGTCAGGGTGGGGTCCTCTGGGACAGGGGGGTAGTTAATTAAGACACTACTCTGCTTGCTGACGACCTAGAACGATTCCAGGAAGCCCTCACAGTGTATGACGAGGAATCCAAGAAGCTTGGGCTAAGCATCAATGGGGTAAGACAGAACTTATGCACATCGGGGAAGGCCGAGACCTCCCCCACTCGTCTTCAACTCCTGCACGGTGAACTTTGTTTCCACGTTCAAGTATCTTGGATCCATAATTTCCAAGACAGGGGATCTAAAGCCAGAGATCAACCAAAGACGTGCTCAAGCTTCAGCAGTCCTGCAGTCTCTGTGGAAGCCACTCTGGCGACATCGCCACATCACACAGCAGACGAAACAACGCATCTACAACTCCTCTGTCATCTCGGTCCTACTGTACGGATCAGAAACCTGGGCACTGAGCAGCACGCTGGAATCACGACTAGACGGATTCGACAGCAGAGCCCTCAGGAGGATTACCGGCATCCGCTGACATGAACATGACATGTCAGCAACAAGGAACTCCGAGACCTGACCGGACAACCTGCTGCATCGTGCCTTGCAGCTGCCGGACGGATCTGCTGGTACAATGAATGGTCACGTTCTCCGCCTCCCTCCCTGGCACCTCACCCGTGCCTTGCTGGATCCAGACTTTGCCCCTGAACAGGCAGGATGGCGGCGGCCCAGGGGGGCCCCACGTACCAGATGGATGGACGCTTTACAATGTGACCTAAGCAACATCATCATCCAGCTCTACATATTAAACATTTGGTCAACCATTTGAAATAACTTCCCATTATCATTACCATTTAATACCATTATCATTAAGAAAAGTTCCCATACTTTGAACACCTAAGTGCAAATGATAGATTTATATTTTTGATGCGTCTAGACAAACTCTGTATCACAAACATGATCTGTTCCCACATTTTCCACTGTACGAAAAAGGGAGAAGTTGACCCCTCTGTGTCAGTAACTAGTAGTCTTTGTATTACTATTAGCCTAATAATAGTACCCTGTATGTTCCTTATGTATGTATGTCTAAGTCAAGTGGTGTATCTTTTGTCTCCACTTTTCTACATACATGTACGTCTGTAATGTGTCTGTTAGTGTTAAGTCTTGACCTGTGCCTAGCCCGTCGTGGCATGAATGTATAATAAAGGTATTTCATTATCATTATTAAAAAAATTCACATGGGGCTTTAAGTCTTCAAAACCTTTTTTTGTGTCGACCAGCTTGTTATTTGTAATTGAATTACATTCTATTTTCAATCGAGTTCTAAATGTTTATGTAAGATGGCAAGGAGATTTTAGGTTGATATGACAACTGTGCGCTTAACATAATTCTAGACAAAGCTTCTGACTTTGATCTTCACTAAGTCCGGACTTGCAAATAAGTTACTTAGAGCATGCGATGTCCCAATTACGATTGAGTTCAGAACTTACAATTGAGTTCGGAAATGATGCACGCACGTTAATATAATTGCGTGCCAAGTTCAATGCGAATTTGTCCGCCAGCCCGAAGCCTATTAGTCTGCATTTACGACGTATATACCCCATTTCTCACGCCCTCAAGTGAAGCATATATGAAGGATATATATTATCGTTGTGTTACTTATAATTAGTTTTTACTTCAGTCTCAACGCTATACTTGGCAGTGTGCATACACACATCTCACTACCGCAACGCAGGTACCTGCTATGGACACCGTACTGTCAGCAGCACTCTACATTTCAGTCCTCTTTTTGGCTGTACATGTACCTGTCAGTGGAAGTAAGTACATGTAGCTTCGTTTCTGCGTCAGATATTTTTGTGTGACACACACTTTCTGTATGATTTTTTTTCCGGAAGAATAGTAATGTTTTGCTTGTTCCTGATTGAATCACTAGTACACCATTATATGTGTGTCCTGGTCAAGAAATGAAGCATCATTGTGAGTGTACCACAACAAGCTTGTTGTGGTGGCAGGCCAGAAGTGATCAAAATGCATGAAATAGTTGCGGTGGATCTTGACCGCTAAAGTCACTAGTATTTGTGGATCGTTAACAATTAAGATTTACAGGTAGATTTTGCTAGTTTCAATGACAGCAGCTTGACCACTTGAAAGAATGGCGGATAGAAAAAAAAGCTATATGATAATAACGTTAATGCCTCGCCTTATCCTCGGTGTCTATGGTGAGATAATCCCTGGTCAGGTGTGATAACCACCTCATAAACCACCTCGTTTGCTACGCTCACTTGGTGGTTTATTCCGTGGTTATCACACCTGACCAGGGATTATCTCACCATATACACCTCGGGGCGGGGTATTAACCCTTAATAACACTCTCCTCCTGACGTCAGTGCTCCTTTAAAGAAAATGTTAACCTTTTTTCAGCGACATGCCCCAACGGGTATCGTATGTATCGCCAAGTGTGCTACAAACTATTCCTCACGCCCCAAACGTTCTCCGACTCGGACGCGGCTTGTCAGGCTGACGGAGGCACCCTCGCCATGCCCCGTGATGCCGGTATCAACACGTTCCTCATCACCCTTATCAACATGCATCGGCCAGACAACGTCTGGTTTGGCTTACATGACCAGCATTATGAAGGTCAGTGGACGCTGACGGCGCCTTAAGGTGTCCTCCCTGGCTAATTTGGCATTTTAGCTTTCCATCATTTTCTCACACAGAAATTTAGAAAGAACTGTAGTTGTATTGAATATTGATACCTGGGTACAAAAGGGTTATGAATATGATTTTATGGACCATATGGATGACGTCATCACATTTTATTGCCCCAATTATCTTTAAAGTTATAATACAGCACTTTGGTACAAGCAACTGAAATAAAAGTATGATTTTCATGTGCTTAATGGTCAAAGCTTCAAACGTACGTTTGCACAAATTGATATCTACTAATTATCCGTAGTTATTAGAGAATAACCTAATTGCCTAATTAAAATCTAGTTATTCTCTAATAACTACAGGTAATTAGTAGATATCAATTTGTGCAAACGTACGTTTGTAGCTTTGACAATTATGCACATGAAAATCATATTTTCATTTCAGTAATACTTGTACCAAAGTGCTATATTATAACTTTAAAGATACATGTAATTACATTTGGGGCAATAAAATATGATGACGTCATCCGTATGGTCCATAAAATCATATTCATAACCCTTTTATACCCAGGTATCAATATTCAATACAACTACAGTGTAACAGTTCTTTCTAAATTTCTTTGTGAGAAAACGATGGAAACCTAAAATGCCAAATTAGCCAGGGAGGACACATTAATAAGTCATAAATTCCTGTAATGCCATGGAGGTAGTATAGGAACTGGGTGGTTGCAGCGCTTAATGTAAGTCCCCAATATGTCTGCTTTGTATTTCTTTGTTGAAATTTTAAGTACTACATGGTGTATACATGACATTCTTTGTTAATTATGGTTGATAATTATTTTTGGTACTATGCGCCGCCATCGCTGTCGTTTCCATAATATTCAGGGCTCAAAATACTGGGTGCATGTGCACCTTAGTGTACCCAAATTTGGAGCTGTGCACCTAATTTTTTTCGAATTCGTAGGATTACACATGTCAAGATGTTAAACATATAGTAGTATACAGCATATTCTTAACATGAATTAATAAATATTAATAAAATCATTCTTGTACTCCTTTTCTTTAGGAATAAAACAAAATTAGTTAATTTTTGCTGACATTCTACTAATATCTTATATGGTGCACCCAAACTTTTTTTTTGTGCACCCAGTTTTTTAGGTTGGGTGAACCAGTGCACCTATTCCCAAAAATTAATTTCGAGCCCTGATATTCTTTATTAATATTAAAGGTCAGTGGACATGGGTAGACGGTACTGTACTGGGCACTTACAGCACATGGGCACCGGGCGAGCCAAACAACTCACAGGACAGCCAAGACTGCGCTAAGTACTGGGGGTCCAGGGGCTACCGGTGGGATGATGAGGATTGTAACACATATCGCTTCCCCTTCATCTGCCAAGTCCTCTTATCAGGTTAGTATTTCAAGCAGATATCACTATCACACGTTCAAGTTC